AGTAGAGGACGTAAGTACTGTATTCCGTACTGTCTTACTACTTTAGCTCTACCTATCAGCATGCTTCCTGGGATGCTATGTAAAGTGTACAGTATGTCATATACTGTACACTTTACTGTATATGACGTACACTATATTGATCCATCATATACTGTATATGACTTTAAAAGATAAGTACATAAGTCTGAGTATGACATATCTCCCAGATGTTATATGTGTCTAGCCGCATCTTACCCGCATGAGTTTCATCCATGTAGAACCTCGATGCGTTGCTTCCATCCTTTTTCCATAATTCTTCTTAGTTTCAATTCCACATGTAAGGGATGTCAATGTTATTGTGCAATCTAATTGTGAAATCTTTTGTCAAATCTAAAGACACAAACCCCCCTCAGTAAACTCTATAAATTAAAGACTTTGAGAAATTCCAACTAAGGCTACTGCTTATGTCATGCAAATTACATAACTATATCTAGTCAACAAAATTGTGGTGTAGAGCTATTGTTTCCGAAGTTGGCTTCTGTCTAGAATTTTTCAACTGATCAGTTGAAACAGTGCATGGTTACTCAATTCACAGCCAGTTTTATGCAATGAATTATCAGGGCCAGAATGTAGTCCACATATCTCTTGTCTCACAAATGACTATCTCGACTTCTTGGAAATAAGAAACATGCCGATAGTTTTGTTTTATGGTTTAGCATGCAACAGATGCATGATTTGTGGAAGGTATCGAATTCTTAATGGCTCAAAAAACGAACAGAATTTCATGGCCTTGCAACCTCATGATCTATTGGGGTTTTGATCTACAATCGCCACTAGATAAGTAACTTTGATTATATATATCATGCAGATTGTTTATACTAAAGAGTTAAGCCTCCCAATAGTGTCAACTCTTATGAATGACATACTCTCATTAGTGACATAAAATTCTAGAACCATTAGTTTCTAACCTGTAAATCTGCCCAATAAGAATGGTACGTCATTATTGCCAATAGTGACAGTTTCAAGTGTAATTTGGAATTACTATGATGATCACAATACATAAGTATGAAAAAGGTTAATGTGGCATACATTTATTTAAAGATCTATCTTAACCAATTTACTCTTATTAGGCTTTAGTGAAGTACTTTGCTACATATATTAGCAAAGTTAATCAATTGTTTCATTCAGACTTTTATATATTAATCTAAATTCAAACACAATTATAATTCATAGGTTAATACTCGTGAACAATACAGATGTGAAAATGAATGCGATTTTGAAACTAATCAATACATTTATAGAATATCTTAGTACGGTTGTAATATATGATAAAAATTCTATAAATTATCTTTTTTATAAATGATTCTCAATATTGACATCTAACTTTAACATCAACTTATATCATAATTAGAAAATTATATTCCAAATATAAAAAAATATTTGGAATATAATTGAAAAATATATTATAAATTAGAAAATATTATTGACATCCAAATCTAACTCTAATATATATTATAAATATATATTCAAAATTAAAATATTTAAATGACGTAAATTGGTACTAGAGTTTCAATCACCCTGTCTCATTATCATCGTGAGATTTAATAGTGATACATGGTGCGGGGCTCCTGTTGCACGAGCCGTATGATTATTGATAGGATGTGGATGTCAAAATCCAACATGAATGACATGTCCAACGTTGACGACAAAAGTCTCGTCAATGGCCAATAAATGTGAAATTTACTGCCAGCTCAGTATAAGTTCTGAAGTTGCTCTGAGCGATGTAGACATGTTGAACTTGAGTCAACTTAGCAAGCCTCATCTCGTGTTAGAGCAGGCTTGGGAATTCTCAAAATTACCAAAATTAACTTAAAATATGGGTTCTACCCGTGTAAAATTTTGGTGAATCTCATTATTACCAAAATTACTACAAGAAACATAATGCAATAACGCTATTATTCGATCATGGAACTGATCTTAATTTGACTTTCATAAATTTACACACTCGTTTTTTTTCGCTTTTGAGATGTACTCCAAACTAATTCGAAACAAACATCGAAAGATGATTAACATCACAAATGTTCCGACTTCAATCATTTTTCTCGCGTTAACTTTCGAAGGGGATGAATTTATTGGTTTTAGCATCCCTGAAATACTTCAAGGAGAGTTTCTATTGTTTAATTGAATTAGCACCAAAAGTTGCAAACTCAAAAGTCTTGTGTAAGATGTACCGTCACTGAACTACTGTTCTGTCAACTACTTTTCGAACTACTGTTTCAAAAGAACTAGACAGGAATGCCCCTGGACAGACGGATATTCTTAAACTGTGAAAATACTCTCATTAACTTGACCTTGCTTTTAAAAGTTTTGCTAAAGAAAACTCGAAGAGTTGAATTTGAATTCAAGCAACAGAGTATACACGCACATGAATCGAACTTGTAATGATTTTTTAGTACGTATTCTTATTGGCGGCAAAGGCAAATTTGTCTCCGATTCCACAAGTATTACCAAAAGATATTCTCATTTATGATCATGAACAAGAACTTAATTTATGGACTCCGCCAGATTTATTTTTGCTTAATTCTGGGATTTTGGAGACAAATCCCAAAATTTAGGAGGCCTGTCTTAGAGGCTTGCAAAGTTGTCTATAATAAGATTTGTTGTTCAAGCTCAATTTAGCCAAGAAGCAAGGACTTTGTTCAATCTGAAGATATGGACGTCGTGTGAGTGATAAAAATTAATCTCTTGTTGTTGCTGGAAGAAACTCATAAATAACAGAAAATCCTAATTGGTTGCAATGCGATTTTGAAGTCAATATCATCATCGCCACTAAGAGCTTGTATCTTTGGATGTCGTTTGATTTGATTGAAATTTGAAGTTCGAATGGGAACTCAAGATTCAGCAAAGATAGTGGTAGGTTGTACTAATCTCCATTATCGAATTTACAAAACATCGGAGTCTCACGTCCGTGAACCAAAAAGACAACCAGTCGCAGCTGGAAACCAATACGTCGAACGCAAATGAGCAGGCATGCTTAATTTAATCAGTAGACTAAACTACCTAAATTAAGTTAATTTAGTCTCATCAGTTAAGTGAACTTAGGCTGCAGTTAGTTTCTCACGAAAACACTATTCTAAATTTCATGCAAGGAAACTCCGGGTGGAGAAATAGTATAAGAGTGCCAACATAAATTTCTCTTTTGCAGGACAAAGAAACTTGTTTACAGAAAAAATAATTGCTTCTATATACACAAACAATCTCATAAATTACATTCAATGCTACATTGAGGAGAGTTACCGTCAAACCCATCCTGACAGCTGGAAGTGCAGCTAGTATCTCTTATAAAGTTGTTGCGTAAAAGTCAATGGAACTTATCAAATTCCAGTGGTAAGTTAATCGAGCAAAAATATGCAGTTTTACGCCATGCAAATTCCTTACATGTGAGATATATCTGCTTTTGAGCATTCCATGACATTGTGAATACACATCGCAAAGATGGTGCGAGGTGGATGCACAATCTTCAGTATTTAAGATTCACCTGGAGAGCGTAAGATTTAAGATTCATCTGCAAAATTTTCGGCTTTTAAACTCAGTTTGATAACCAGTGCACATCAAACAACTCTTTTCGTTGGAGTTTTCGAAGTCTCCATTCCACATATTATACGATTTCTTTCAGAACCAGAGGCTTGGTTCTCTGTGTTTAATTTGAATCATATCACTTGTTATGAAGTGCATTGAGTTTGAGCAACCTCCTGTGTACACTTTGCTCCGTAAGATTTAAAAATAATTATCACTTCTCATGGAGTGCATTGAGTTGAAGCAACCTACTGCATCCACTTTGCTATATAAGAGGAGAAAACCATTACACGTTCGTGAACTTATCATTAAAATGCTACTGAACGATATCAATTTAGGTGCAGCGCCATAACGTTGCATGCCTCCATACCAATCCACACATCTACCCTTTCAATCCAATTGTCTTTGTGTGGTCTATCTGGGCACCATTTTGAAATCCAAATTTGAGGGATATAGTTATATCCAAGCATGGTTATATTAGTCGGTCTCCTAAATATGCTTTACTTAGTCGCATAAAGAAAATTAATTTAGAAATTTTTGTGCTAAAAGTCGCCCTTGAAAGGGAATGAGGGGTTACGAGAGAGAGTCACCATCATTCCTCGGGTGGGTTGTGAGTCTCGTGTTTGAGAGAAAAATTGATTTATACGAGAGAAAAATTAATTTACAAACTCTGGATTATCATATCGGTGAATCATGAAATTTACTCGTTTACAAATTGATTAGCAATCATTACACCTTACTGACTGAAATATCCCACACTTTATTGGTTGAGATATCCCAGGCTTCAATTTTGATCCAATCTAGATAATTTATACTTTTATTGGCTGAGATATCCTAGGCTTCAATTTTGGCGATAGAGGATGCTTCAATATAGATAATTTATACTCCTCGGTATATTGCTCCGGTTAACTTAGGCACTAGAGGGTACTTCAATTTAGGTAATTTTTACTACTCGGTATAAGACACCTAAAATAACCATGCCTGGTCGTAAGTTTTATAATTTCACCGAATTTCCTTCACTTCACGTGACGGTTGAATAGTAACATGTTGACGAGTGTAAATTGCGAAGCGTTGGAGAGAGTCAACAGTCTTCATCGACCAAAAGACCCTACAATGAACTTCAGATTTACTTAAGGTGTGGACATGACTGCGGATAATCAAACGATGAATCAAGTCAAATCCCCTTATTCCCCTTTAGTTCCGGCTCGTAACTAGACCTTTGCACAATGTTTCTCAATGATGAGCCAGTAAGAAGCAGCTGTGAGCACGCCATGGGCAAATCTGGCATGTCTGGCAGATCTATCGCAGTAGAAAGGGACACACATGTAAATCGGAAACTTCAAATCTCAGTGTAATCCAGCAACTTTTGAAACATTATGGCCACAACTCACGTTAGAATCACACGACTTAATCAACCGGAATCATGATAATGATAGTAGCTTCTTGTCGGAAATTTAACATTCAGCTTCTAGAAACCTGTGTTCCGTGACCTGGAACCAGAATAGATGACGAGAATTTCTAATCACAACAAAATGTTAAACACGATGGAGACTAGTTTGTGCGGGTTGGGGCAGCAATCCTTTACAGTTTGTAACACCTAGGGCACGCAGCAACTGTAGTTTTAGGAGGGTCCATAAGGCCCCAACTGGACCTTCGAACTGAGGGACGATTTGAGACGATCAAGTCGAATCCTGTGAGAAAGCAAATTCACAGCCGCACTCTAGAACTCTGTCAGGAGCCACAGATACAGCACTGAAAGTATTTCATGATGTAATTTTGCATCGAAGCACCGGACAAAAACATGTCAACACTTTGCTTGACAGGCTTATTTGCGGCATCCATGATTACACTTTTTCTCTCGATCAAGTGTCGCTAAAATCTGGGCCGAGTTCAGCAACTAAACTGATGACCCATTCCATTTTCTTTGTCGATGTCTTTGGACCCAAATACAGGGCTTTGGAAGTAAATAAGACACCCCATAACTTACAAAACATTTACAACTTCGCACAGGAGGAGGCTTAACCCGTGCGAACTAGAACAACCCCAGCATCTTCAACTCGTTTAGGTGTCCAGGGTCTAGCTGCGGAGGCTCCTCATTTTCGCTAAGATGCTCGACAACATATTCCTGCACACACAATCGTCCACATTTACAATATATTTTTGGTTTCTACAGATGTAGTCTACCCCAACGTGAGTCCACAGCTACCTCGCAGATGCCAACACTAGTGTCTGAAGAGACTACGGTCAGCTCTAAAGAAAACACCAGAGACATGTTCAACTTTCTCTTCCTGCTCCACCTGTACCACTGGACCTGTCACTACAAAGCATTTCTGCACTAAAGGCTGGATTTAGCTTTAGGGTGAGCTTTAGAGATCATGAGTGACTAAGGGTCACTCATGATCTCATGGATATTTTAAAACTGTATGCATGTCTACAACTCAGTAGCGCAGCATGTATTAGGAAAACGTTTGTTGAGGATGTACCTTAGTCAATTCCTGCTTGGCAAGAATGTGATAATGGCGATTGCTGATATTCTGTCCACATATGATTGCTATGAAGAAGCCGTAAAGCAATCCCACCAAAAGGGCTACTACTACTGCCACACAAATTTTTCTTAATTAGACGGTATTGAAAATACTACTCCTGACACATATCACATCGAAGAGAAAGCGTGCAAGAATTTTTCGAACCAGCCTACAGAAACCTAATTTCAATCCAAAGTACTAATGTTCTGACTTACGAGAGGAAAAGAGATGGCCACTTGTGCTGATCCGAGGCACATCACAAAAATACGTACCTACTAGGGCATAAAAGCCGTATGGATGATCATCATAACCGAACAATTCCCTCAGCTCTCCCCCATAAAAGTAATATACTAACGCGCCCAAACTTCCTACCACCTGAAAAAAAATAAAAAATTAGTTCGAGGAACTCGCAGTCCACATCTACTTGTAGAACAACCCAGTCTGAATGGAGGTCTAGTGTAGCCCGAAGGCCATAAACTGTATATCTTCGTACATCTAATGTCGACCTACAGGAAAGAAGAATAACACGTAACTAAGCTATAAGGTAGTTCTAGGAATAAGACTACAATATTCGGAGGAAGCTTGTAAAAAACGCACAGTGCATATGCATCAGCCTCCTCACCAATTGTACAATCAAGAAGATTGCGGCATGATCTCTAAACACCAACAACTGAAACTTCATTCGCAACCACCATCTATCAGGGGGCAAATTTGCACGCAGATGAAAGGCTGATCTGCATTCTGTACAATGTGCAAACGCAAAGCCTTCCTGCATCCACAAATCATGTCCTGGTTCACTTACTGAGCATATATAAAGGAATCTGATAAGCACACAGGAAACTTGCAATATCTTCCGGCTGTACTAACTAACAAATATCAATCAGACGCAGATGAATAATTTATAATAAAAAAACTAAAATTCTTTAGGTGAGATACAGTAATATTTTTTCTCTAGGCTGAGCAAAAACAAGGGCTGAAGAGTCTTGATATAAATCTTATTTGCTCTCAGCCTCAGCCTTATCAAGAATAACCTTAAACTCCAAACTGGCCACTGCGTGCCAAACATCATGGCTTCATCTTCAAAATTTAACCATTCAAATGGAGCATTTGCTAAGATTTGGTTTTGTTGAGTTTGGACTAAACCTTGGCAGCTCTCCAGTTATCAAGGCATAATCTGTGTACAAACTTTTGAGTACCTCTACACCGGCATGGAGCGATCAAATCATCACCTGGCAGATGCACGAGTAATATTAGTAACTGAGACAGTTATTGCGACTTCTACCAATTCTGCGACAGTGCCCGGGGAACAATTCCTCAATGGGTACCATCTCCCTAGTCAATACATTTCCTCTAAGCTACATGGACACAATGGAGGAAACTGCATGGAGGGCAATGGAAGCACATGCCTTCGGATTCAAGGCAGATGCGACACTGAGGTTGATCAGGGCTCACAGGTTCACTGTCGCCAGTTTTTACTCGATCTCCGTACGTTCGTATTTGGATCAGAGGTATCCCTTCAGCTTCCCGTATCGCTCGGTCTGAGGTAGAGCTGGATGTACTGGCTACTTCTTCGTCATCAGCATCATCGATAGAACGCAAGACTGCTGGAGGGATTTGCTCCTCACCAGAAGAAACTACTTGAATTGAGTCTTCCTCAAGGCCCCTCCCTGAATCCACTTGGGTATACATTGCACGGCGTTCTTTTTCCATCACGCATTCTCTTTGTAGTGCGCAGATGATTTTCAGCTGTGATCTCCCCATCCAGAAGGAAACCCAGTAAAGCTTCAAAGATCATGCAAGTTTCCAACAGAGGTTCGATTCTGAAAAATCAGCAGAGAAAAATTCAGCAATCTGTCCTGTATCTTAAGACCGCGTAAGTTGTCAGAGCGACAAGTCCTTCCAGTGATGAGACGATAACCCCACAGAATTACCAAAGTATGACCAACTCGCTTGACAGTCCCCGTATAAGTCTGGAGGTCAGAGCTGCATGCACCCACCTAAGTTAACGCAAGTCAATCTTCAAAACTACAGGGCACTTCCGAAACTGATGACATCTGGTCAAAAAAATTAAAAAGTATATGGATTCCTGGTCTGCGGCCCTTTATGAGTTGTTCCAGACGAGAGGATTTTGGGCTGCAAGTGAAAGTTCAAGTCTGGCCCCAGTAAGGAATGGCTCAATTATAAGGATGATCGAGCTTTCTACGAATTATCATGGAGAGAGAATCCCATCCATCACTTGGAATCCGGAGAGAATTGACGGGCCTGCAGTGGATCCCCACAACGAGACTAAGAGGGCCATCAGGTCTGAATGAAAGGCAGTGGAGCCATCCATGAAGAGGCCACTCGTCAAATCGAAAACTGAATCAGTCGAAGTTCTCGGAAATGGAACAAGTAAACTATAGTCGTTGAGAGCAATTAATCACCAGAAAGAACTGAGTTGGCAGATCAGATCAAATTCCAGCATGTCCATCGTGCAGTGGCCGACTCACATGGAAACTGGAAAACAGCTTCCATGCTGGAAATTAGGTTGATCTGCAGCATTCACCATCACATCCAAAATGATCACTGCTCCGCCAGGAAGCAGTGGTCTCCAGCCACACGGCTCACGAACTTCTTCGTCGTCTGACTACCCAAACAGCTCCTCCAGACGACCACCGACGACAGGCTCCGGATCCGTATGTCGAGAGCCAACTTTCGGCCAATTCCCCAACCTACGAGCCAGACCACACTAAAGCGAACCCAAAATTTGCAGCAAAGCTGCTGCACACCAAATGGCTCTGGCCCAATTCCCAATTCTCCCTCGACTCCTTGAATCTCCTTCGACCGCCTGCTGCAGCACCTGGACTTCCGATTCTCCTACCCCCGAATCCGGCCCACCCTTCCAATCCCGCGGTTGTCACGACTGCGCGAGGCCTGCCTGGGCTGCAGACTCGCATCAGCTGCACCACTGCTCCGGGAACGAGATGCGCAGATCCTTCTCGTCGCCTCAGAACATTCTCCCCTGCCATCCCCGGGCCTTGGACGCCTCTGCAACTGCCAAGGGATCAGCCCTCTGACCCTGTCCCCGATCCGTGCCCATCCTGCTGCTCCACTGCGCAGGCTTCCTCACTCGGCCCTTGTCCCCCTCGAGCTCTCAGCAGTAGTCAGTATCGGCTCTCGGCTGCTTCTGGGTCCGGACTGGACTCCCGTTTCGGTCCGGCTGCGTGCCTCGGCCTGATCTGGAAAGCGAGCGAGGCCCAGCGGCACTAGTACCATTCGAGGACTGATCGGGACTCCGGAACTCATGGGGGCCGTCGCGCGTTCGTCCCGACCAGTTGTGAAGCCCTGGTCTGCTCGCTGCCCGCTGCGATGCGGGACAGCGGCAGCGGTAGATCTCAAGAATCGCCAGACGACGTGGACACGCATATGGCCCCGACCTGACCAGCCTGCTCAGACCGGACCGGGCCTGGACAGAATGATCGAACATGCGGCTCCATGGGCGACACAGTCAATGCATGGATTGTCGAGCACTTCCTTGAGTTTGACTTTGCCGGTCCGGTTGCAACTCGGAGGTCGGCGGTGCAGCTGAAGCTCGCGCGAGGGCTGCCAGCGTTCCCGGTTCATCCGCGCTTGCCTCCTCTTTCCAAGGAGCCCTAAAAGCTCATTTATTTCCTTTTTGGCCATAAACGGTGGCGAGCTTCTAATTTCGACGGACCTCGCGTCCTGCATGGGGCCCAGCCTCCCGACATATTTGTATTTTGATGGCATCGGTTGCAATACGATTTTAGAGTTTCGCACCGCAATCTACGGATCCTGCGCCTTCCGTCCACCTTTCGGCGTAGGGAAGCTTTTGATATGGGTGTAAGAAGCACAAGGAGTCTAACTGCAGGTCTTTTCACTTCAATCCTTTTCTTATCGAATTTGTCTTTCACGATGAGTCTGGGGACAAATGCAGTGACCTCAAACAATCATTATAGCTCCTTATTTGCCAGGTCATATGGCCAAAAGATGGGACTGCCAGTCACTCGCGACGGGGTTGAAACCAAAAGGGATTGGATGTGTCTAGAGTCTAGCCCCATATAACATTACAACAGTAAATGTATAACATTGCATTAATGTATCCTCACTTGCAGTTCAGAGCATAGTACATATCATTCCAATAAGACTCTAGTCCGTGATTGGTCTTGTGTGAATCGCACTAATCTACGTTCCATGCATTGCAATGGATAGACTCTTTTAAAAATTGCCCACGCATAAAATATTGATATTCAACTTCTGGAATTATATTAAAATGCCCCCACAAACTTATCAAAGTACTTTAGTGCTTTGATTAACATCAAAAATTAAGTAGCTTAAGAATTAACTCCCAATACGCTCACGTAATTTCTAATTGGTTGTTGTTGTTCCATTCTTTGACTCTCATAGTAAGATAGTGATAAAATTTTATTCATAACTCCATACATGAATATCTTGATTGTTGTCATTCCATTCAAAGATATGGATGTCAAAAGTAGAGCATACAACTTGATACTTTCTCATCAAATCCATGTTTGCCGTGACTTTGATAGTTTGCAAGGGAAATTAGATTTCACATTAGAGGAATTGAAAAAATATCAACCTCTATAGTTCTACTTCGGCCTCCTCCTACTACAGCAAACATCATCTCCTAATATCAAAATCAATAATCGACTCTTGACATTACAGAAAATATATGCGATGAATACATACGCATGATTTTTTCTGTAATGAATACAAATTTGGATTCATATCATATATAAGTTAAGAAGAATATCATAGATGGATTGAACCAATGTAAGACCCTGTTGCACATGATGTGAATAATTCAATTCTGACCCGAAATTGAGCAAAATTACACAACATATAATAAATATCATATACAAATTTCTTAAATATGAAGATTGACATAGATACTTCGCGTCAAAATCTCCATGTATAAACCTCAACATCGTGCTTTGACAACATTGTTGACTGCCGGAGTCGCTCCCAACAATCTACAATAAAGTTACTTAGCTCTTTCTGCGCAAGTGAAATGCATCAAGTTGTTGAAGATGTCATGTGTATACACGTTAGTGCAGTTGCAGATCGACGTTGGTGTAGATTTGAGTTGAGACACGTTGGATTCGAGTTTGAGTCGGGTGACGTTGGAAGTCGGCTAACGTTGACACGTGGAGCGTAGGCTAGGTCGACACTTTCCAAGTTCATATTGGAGGAACTCGAATAACTGTCAGTTCTTTGAGTTGAGCCTTTCGCATAGGGAATTTTTCCATTAGCTTTGACTCTAGTCTCACGAGAGTGGAGTGAGTTTAGCTTGACTTGATGTTTTGTGTTTTCAGACTTTTTACTCGAAGAACTGCGTGAACAAGGAAGATGTCTGTGTAGTGTGTTCAAGTTTTTGCTTGTGTAGTTGTGATACCTTTGTGTGTGTGTACACTCTTGTTCCTTATGTATGTATGTGTGAGTTGTGAATAGAGCATGTCAGCGACATATGATGTATGACGAAACCGAGTCGCACGACAAAGATGTATCCATATGCTCTAAATATGGATTGTACACAAAACCAATCGTTTTTGAATGCCGATGTTTCATGTTACTGGATTGAATGACTTTTGCACATCTTTCATGGTTGCTGTGGCATTTCATTATGAAGAGTCGGAGTTCTCATATCGTTGTGCGCTACAACAACTTGCAATATGTTGATGATATTAAATCCATCAACATATTCACGGATCAAAAGACTACATTGATAAATGCATTGCACTTTAAGTTTCCAACATTTGTGCTTGTGCTTTGTCTCTAGGATATTGAAAAATATATTGTTGCGAAGGTCTAGAAATGTTGTCTTACGGAAGAAGATTCAACTGTATTTTTACAAACATTGAATGACGTCGTGAGATCTTCATATGTGAATATGTTTGGAGAGAATTGAAAAAAACTGTCCAATGCACATACTGCAATCTTCAACTTGCTTTTTTTTTTTATTGAAACTACATGGTTATCTCACAAGGAGCATTTTGTAGCAGCTTGAAAAAGTGAGTGAGTTCATTTTGTGAATGTCTGCCCCTCTCAGCTGGAAATACAACACAATATTAATAAATGTATATTTCAACATCCATCCAAGACTTACATGATGTTCATAAAAAAACTCATTATTTCAAAAATTGTATGAAAAAAAGTTTGAAGAACAACGAAGTGCTGAACGCATCATAATCAATTTCAAATATCAGCAAGGATCTTGCTTTTATGATGATATACAAAGCATGTTGGTATTTGCATTCAAAATACAGTGTTTACACAACGTGAATCATCTCAATTTGAACTTGTGAAAAGATCTACGACTGCTAGAAAAACATAAGATCTCTTAACCATTTAAAATGACCATGGTATGTTGAAAGATTAAATATAGTAATGTTATTGTATTTTCACATTCCTACACAATTAATAATATATTGATAAAACCAAATTTTTCTAGCAGATCTAGTCATACATTTTGACATCAATGATTCTCAAACCAACTTGCAAGATAAAACTTGATAGTATGTGATGAATAAAATTTTTTATTTTATCATAAAGTTCCTCAATGTGATTATTGTAGGAATTATAACATAGTTATTATGATTGAAGGAGTAAAAGTAATGATTATAATAAATCATAGCTTATGAGAAATTTTCTAGATCTCTTGTTAAGCAATAGTAAGGATAAATTAAATGATTATATTTTTGAATAGAATACATGCTGATGAAAGAGAAAAAATGTAAACTGATTATATTACTTACAAACGAAATACTTGTTCTAGCCTATTCAAAAAATTTCAAAATTTTATATGCGCAATTAAAACTAAAGAATTTTATAATGTTGAAAAAATATACATAAGATATTATGATACATCTGCATTAAGGTAGAAATTTATTACATTTTATCATTGCAAGTTGAGAGATACAAAGAGTCAGACTTGTTAATACTCATATACTTGATAGCGGCACACTTCGTATGCTAGCTTTTTATTATCTTTGAAAGTGTGTCACATGTAGGGCGAATAATCACATTGAATGTAATGTTAACATGAATGAACTAAGTTAAAAGTGCACTTACATAGTTTCAAGACATAGCAACTCTCCTTCCATGTCAGGTATTCATCATCATAGATAAAAAGTTTACATAGCAAACTTCTAATACATCATAAGAACTATTCTTTGCCATCCAAATGATCAACAAGTAGGTTGAAAATATGATGCATACAATAATATTACACTAGATATGTGAACAATACAATCACAGATTATGGATTCAAACCAAGTCATAAACTTAAAATCATATAGATCGAGATAAAAAAATTGATGAAAATGGTTGACTTTCCAGACTTAAAGAAAACCATAGATGCTTTTGAAGACATGAACTAACATAGTTTGAAACTAACTACAACACTCACTATTGTTTGAATATATCATGAAAAATATTCTATGGTCCAAGCTATAGAACATACCAAGACTCAATTGTCAGTTTTGGTAAATAAGTAGAAAACAATGTGCAAACATGACCTAAGCTTATGATAGCGCAAGGTCTTTTTGTTAGCTAACCTAACAGTAACCAAAAGTGACTTGCACGAGAGAGCCATGCAAGTCTTTGGAGGCCGCGGTATAAACACGGGTGGTAGTAAATCCAAGCTTCAAAGTCAATGTAAACAACTCAAATAAGAGGTAAGTGAATAAAAAAATCTGGGTCTAGATTGTTCAGACCAATGGTGTCTTCTCGTGTGGCGAGATTTCCATTTTTCAAGTTGCAAGGTATTTAACATCTAACTTTTTCTACTTCAGTCTTGTAATAACCCTACACGATAACAAGAGGCACATATTCCATGCACTGTTTCTGGAAACTGTCGTCAATGATAAACAAGCCTCCCTATTTACGGAAAAAATAGTACTTGTACCGCAAATAACTGTAAATAAGGTCCGGGTTGTCCCATAAATAAGGGCCTTAATAAAAGGTTTTTTTTATTGGCGGCACCCTAATCTTTACCGGCGCTCTTGCCTGTCTTCCCTCCTTCAACTCGCCCTCCCCACCTCCCTTCTCCTCGCACTTTGTCTCGAGCACGCCTTATTACCAGCTTCACACTCAACTCCCGTGCTCCCGCTATGCCGCGCGCGACGCTGCGTACGCCCTTCAACCCAGACCACCAAGTCAACTACGGACTTTCCATCGCAAGTCGGGACGCAGCCACGTCGGAGGTCGTTTCAGTCAATTGTCTCTTATGTATTCACTTTGGCCGAGAGGACACAGACACGAGCACCGCCCAGGAAGAACGGAAGCGGCGCAGAACCGAAAATATCAAGTCTTTCACCAGGCCATTTCGAACCGACAATTACGTACGGCACTTGAGCCGCCAGCACAAGGCTCGCTGGGACCAATTCAAAATCCTGGCCAGGAACCAGAAGGCCACCTTTTTCCAAAGAAATGCACCAGTCAGGCACATGAACACCATTCCATCGCACTTCGCCGGCAACTAGACGGCAATGCAGCTTTTCATCATCAAAGCGATTGTTGACGTCATCATCGGGGACCTACTTCTCGACCAGGACGACGACGACGGGCTGCCGAACATGTGCAGGGAAAGAGCACTTAAAATCTTTGAAGATATCGATCCCAACACCATTGAAGAACCTGGATTGGCCACTACCAAATATCGAATCGACATCTCGAATCGTAAGCAATTCAATCTGGTGGCGGGATTCCTCAGCAGTGGAGTTTTCTTTTGCCAAGCAGAAGCTCTGGTTACCATGACGAAAGAAGTCACCGGCGTTGCGGAGATCGGCACTGCCAAGGATGAAAGGGTCGCTCAGTACGCTCGCTTTATTTTGGCGTTGAATCTGCAACATATCCACGACATCTTGGACAATAGCTGGGCATTCTCAATTGCGTTGGATATGTCCACTCACATGTCGACTTCTTACCTGGATATCCGCATTCGGCTCTTCTGGCATGGTGAGATCCTCAACTTGCACTTGATTGGGATTCAGGTTTTCTGCAGGCATACGGCATCAGAAGTGTACCGCCACGCTTCGGCAGTGCTGGATGTACTCTGCACTGAATGGAAGACTATGCTGATTTCAATCTCAACGGACAGCGAACCGCGAATGACCGGCCACATTGGCGGGGTGGCCACGCAATTTGAACAAACAGCATTACCTGGCTTTTACCGCATCTGGTGTGGTTTACATCAATTGGACTTGAAGTTGAGATCGTTCTACGAAGAATTGATGGACGAACAATTTGTGTCAATGCTAACGACACTCATTGAATACCTGCGCCGTCAACAGAACCTGATTAACGACATGGGAACGAAATGTCGCACACTCGCAGAAACAAGGTGGGAATCCATGTCAAAGGTCGCCAGCTGGTTCAAAACGCACCGTGTGGTCATTAGAGAGTACCTGGAGGCGAAGAACCCGTCCTCCAAACCGCCGCATGAATGGTGGGTAGTCCTAATGTTCGTCAAAGATGTGTCCGCAGCCGCCACCGCTACCTTCAAGCAACTTCAAAAGGATGACACTTTGGTCTCGCGGCAGCGCGAAGCCATCGCCAATCTACGGACTTGCTACAAAGACTATATCAAAGCAAACGGCCCATTAGCTCTGGACAGCGTGAAGACATCGACATCGAGAGAGACGCTGTGTCCAGCAACGATTTGTACTCAGCTCGTGTCGCAGATATGACCACGTTTCTAGAAGACATGGGTGGTTTTGTATCCGATCGCATGCAACATGCCGGGCAAGCCAGCATGGAAAACCTGGCAAGAAACTTGAGCAAGGGCTTGTTGAATTTGATCGCTGGGCTGGACGAAGTCGTGGCCGAACTAAACTCCCTGAATGGCGTTTCTTTGGACGTGTTGCCACCAGTGCTGCCGCACGAGCTGGTGACACTGAATGGACGTGACTTTATCGCTATTGTACTCGCACAACGTGAACGTCTTGCTGCTCGTTGGGCCCCTATTTCTGCAGAAGCGACAATGGACTACATTGAAACCGAATTCCGTGATCTCAAAAATGCTTACCGCAATGAAGAGCCCTTCCGTAATGCATTGGACGGGTGTACATACCAAACGCCCTTCAGCAAGGCCTGGAAACTCACAAGTGGTCAATTCAAGAAGCTGGAGATGTTTTGTGATGGACTGGCAAGCACTTTTCAGGGAACGTCCTTTGTAGAGCGCGACTTCTCCATTCTAAAATGGGAAAAAGACATCCACCGGATGAGCTTGACAGACTTTTACCTGGAAGGCGTGATGCACGCAAGGCAGTTCAAGCTTCTGCAGAAACTTACGTTCTAAGCGGAGACAATGAATACAAACACGGTCCTTTGATACTCAGATGTCCGAACTGCTTTCGCTCTTCGTAGTACTTTAATTAAGGACCCGTAAATAACCCTATCTAAGGTCGGACCTCGTCCCGTAAATAGCTTATTTATGGTATTTACGGGAGACCCGTAAATAGGGAGGCCTGATGATAAACCAACAGGTCGAACACATTCCTTAGGCGGATAAGTAAGTGTACCCTATTATAGATCAAGGCAGATGGTAAATAGAGAAACCCGTGGGACCCAAAGTGTCAAGGCTAAAAAACACAATACAAATCATCCAACTCCAAACCAGATGGACTAGAGTTACTTCAGTTTGATCATACTGCTAAAGCAGAAGTTGGAAACTTGAAAAACTATCCAAAGAGTTGAGAAGGCAGGCATATGCCCCAAAACCGGCCAAACGGATAATTATTACTAAACCAGATGGCGGTAAGCACCTTTTTTGTCAAAAGGGTCAAAATTTTTTTTATTTTGTTTTCTATTTTCTTTCAACGAAAATAGCAAGAAAACTTCTATTTTGTTTAGTACTTTAGGTTCATTTGTGGCGTATAGTGTAAATTTTGTGGTGAATCCACTCATTTTCGCTTTGAAAACTAGTACTTTTGGTCCCGTTAGGGAGAGCCCTCCAGGCCTCAACCCGAACCTTATGGCCCAAAAGGCACTCGCCCAAAGGGAGAAGCAGGTCATGATGAATCTTGTCAAAGTCTTTCTTAATATCAATTTGTACAAGCCAAGTCAGTGCCGTCCACGAGTAACGGAGGTCTCGGAGGGCTTTATGACAGCTTCTCCCAAACTTTCTGCTTTAGCAGAAAGTTTGATGATATGGGAAGTCGTTGGATGAAGTTTCAAAAGATATCGCCAACCTCACTTTTAATTCTCTTATGTCCCAATTGCATTGTCAACATTTGATAACGGCGCTTTGCTGACATTACATCACTTGCTGTAGCAGTACAGTAGTTGGCGAGAGCAACTGGAAGGTACCATTGTTATAATGAACGTGCAAATTGCTGGTTTTGGTTAGGTTGAGGATACCATTGAACTCCAGGACCCTGCAGTCTAACTTAGCGCAGGAGTTAATCAGCCGGTAGTGGCTAATGTCACCTCGGTAGTGCGCCTATTGCAGATGTCAACCAACCGAGTAGGTGTGCAGGACATCGGCAACCAAGTCCGTGTCCACAGTTCAAAAGTGCGGGACAATGAAACTCTGAACGGAAGCCGGCTGACTGGGTAAGAACCCTCAGGGTACTGCCGTTCCTCCGTTTCTTCAGCAGGGGAGGAGCTCACACGATGTGAAGCCCGTGGGACTCACTCTCACGAGTAGCGGGGCTGCTGCAGGAGACGGATCACGGATTGGAGCGTACCGGGCGTGACGTCGGTCATGCGCGTGGCGAATCGGTGGACAGCTGCGTCATGAGCAGGAGTGGGAGGAGGAGATCCTGCGATCCTTTTCGCAAAGAGCAGGGAAGCGGGGGAGGAGAGAGACGCGGGCCAGTAGCGGCATCCGTTTGAACTCGGAAAGGGAATGAGGAAAGAGGAAAGAGGAAAGGGGAAAGACAGCGTTGACATTCGGTGGATGGATGGATTTGTTGCCATGGTCGAATAAAGTATGAGTGCCGTCGTGCTGCATCTGGGAGCGGAGCGCAAGCGAGAGGGAGTGCGAGCGGCTGGCTCGAACTTTTGAGTGGATAATCACAGTGCCGGTTGCCGGATCGTGGCCCGTCTCGTATGCATGGGCAGCTTTGATTTGCGAGCAACTGAAATGGTGCGTATATATGCTGCATGGGGCTCTCGCAGTGCGCGCATTTCAGACGAAGATTAGACCGTTCCAACGAGGTGTATAATGTCCTTCTACTGCCCAGTCGAAAAGTGTCGTACCTCTGGAGACGTGGTGCTACCAAGGAGCGCCCGAGCTGCCGGCTGACATTCATTCACGCATTTGTTTCCGCTTTAGTTGCACGCTGATTTCCATCTGATCGGTTGGGGATCGAAAGTGTCGGTTGCCGGAATTAGTGTGAGGATTTTTGAGAGATGGAGACCTCGAGATTGCACTGGTCCTGTAGTGCATTCCGTGCACGTCAGAAGGTTTGATTTACATGGAGACAAGATCACTCTTCGAGAAGCAGATCCGAACATTGAGAGGAGATTCCGGTTTCAGCTTTTGAAGGTCTTCACTCGAGTCTCGCTTAAAAATGCTTACTGTTACCGCATATCTTAGGGTAGCTTCCTGAACCTGGTGTATGGCCTTGTCGTCGCGTACTAGGCCTCAGATATCTCTTACAAGTCCTCTCCTCCGCGTGATCTTAGAAGTTGCAGAACACCATTTTTCAGTGGGTCCTGCACGAGCATTCAACTTAATGCAATCCTGTCACTATCCACAGACCCTAAGAAGAGTAACCGTCTTTTAAACCCTTACTCTGTCGTATTTTGACTTGTCAACGCGTGCAAGGCAGCAAGGAGCCAGCTCTCCAAACCAATTCATTGGCATACCAAGTTTTCTTATTAAGAAGGCTTGTCTACTATAAGTCCACGCCTTCGAGTGACAGTATCATAGATTTCTTCACCAGACCCGCATGCTCCCCTGACCTCTGAAGATGTTCACTTGTTGAGTTTGCATCAAAATACGAAGGAACAAATTCTTCAACGTACGTGGTTGGTTTGTAATTTCCACCTGAAGAGACTCTCGATGTCAATGATTCCCGGATTATTAGCAATAGCATCAACGGGGATAATTGACATTTGCAATAAACAAAGCACACAGATTCACCACCTTAAGCGTTAGAACAACCGAGTTTTGCGAGCAGTGTGAGTGGTGTGATATGAAACAATGAGAGAACTATCCCTTCGAATTGGAGTTCGTCCAAAATCCTCGCTTTAAATGGATTGACCCCCGTCTACCATGCTGATTATAAATTCCTGTCATTGTGTCCGTTAAAGACCAGTTCAAGAAGTAAAGACATCTATCTCCATTGCACTTTCGTTGGCACGTTGATGAGCATACATGAAGCTTTGACAATTCTGGATGTTTAGTGCCTCACCTCGCGAAGACTAGGATTGGATCCTCGATACTCCTTCAAGATATAATGGTTTTGTAGTTCGGATTCATTCTTAAATTACAGTGCTCAACGTAGTATCTGTCGTCCATGCATCTGCTCGCTCGTTGTTTCACCTGCCTCATTCATATTACTAGCACTCAATTTTTTCAGTTTGGATCAGTCTCTTATAAGGTTGTTGCTTGTAGATCTGACGCTGGCGAATCTTTGCTTCGGGGACCAGCGGAAAATGCGTTAGGATATTGGGGCACTCATGGGTCATGATAATGTTCCTTCCATCTCACCAGCGAAGTGGAGAACGACAAACCCTCAGTCTCCCTTCTGGAAGTCAGGAGGGCATGTTCGGGATGAGTCTTTCGACAGACCAGATCTTGGTTGGAAAGCTTTGCTTAAACGGCATAAGTTTCTCTTGTTCATGCTTGCCATTTTAACATTCCTCTGTACAATATATCTTTACTTCGCCATCACATTTGCGACGGTCGATACATGTAGCACTCTTAAGGGGAAAATGAGAGCCCACTGTTACCAACTACAGGGTAAAGATGGCAGAGTCCATGCTCATCATGGAAGGAGAGCATTGGATCTGCGCTCTTTCGAAATCTCTCCAGATGATTTGACCCAAGACGTCTTATTGGACGAGTGTGGTCGACAGTTTGAGAATTATTCTCCTTGCAGGAATGTATCAGGATTTCGAGGTTCTTGTAGGCAACGCAATGAACGCCCTCCTTTGTGTAGAGTGCCTGCTCCTCTAGGGTATCAGAGGCCTGCAGTCTGGCAAAGAAGTAATGAAGATACTTCAAGCGAATGGGAGCAAACGAGTACACCAGGTTTCACCTTCGAGAAGGTAATGCTACCTCGAATCACATTGTTTTTAAGTTTGTCATTTACTCCTGAATGTGGACCGAGGCTTTTGTAATGTCTCTTTGCTTGATTATTTGATTTAGTTCCGATCGTCAAAGAATGAGGTGTCCCAACTTCCTATGAGTCTATTCCCACAATGATGAGGTCCACATCTTCTTGCGTCTGATGTTTGAAGTGTAGTCTGCTGATTATCTATCACTGCGTAAGCACAGACTTTGATTTGTTCAGGACCTCTAGTCGATAATCCTCGACATGTCAGCTTGCAATGTTGTAGGGTCTTCACTTTGAGTATCTCGAGCCGAGTAGATGTCTTCCTTGCCAGTATCGATGCCTCGTCCTCGTGCTGTATAAAATGACTTCTTGGTTTCATGCTTCGGTTGGAGGGTCCCTGCACTCGTAGCTCAGTGCTCAATACGTATCTCAACTGAGCCCGTTTTCATAATCGTCGACCAGCTTACATTTTTTTTGGACGTTATTTTGCAGGTTCAGGGCGAGGATTCATCACAACAAAGCCTTTTGAAAGTCAGGGGTTATGCTGAATCTCTTCTTCTCAGTGTTGATCACGTACATAGAGTACTGACAATAGGATGTGAGGGATGCAAGATGCTGCCTTCTGGCTTCATGCCAAAGAGAGACGTTTCATCTCTGTCAATTCTTGGAGTCCGAAGCTCAGGCATATGTGTAAGTTATACTGACTTCATTCTTATCAACACAGGAAATACAAGCGTGAAAGTTCATTGAGAGTGAGAAGGCGCCGAATCTGTTGTCTCCTTACCTGACTTAAATGCATTCGCTGTTCGCGGACTTGTCTATTCCAGATTCAACAAATATTGGATGAAGGGTTTCCCGCCCTTCTGACTACATTGTTTAACACCAACGGGTTGCCTGCAAACGCATTCGATGTGATACGATCTGATGGATGTGGGGACCAGGTGGATACAAGAGGTATTTGTTTACTATCAAAAGCTGTGCCCATGTCGAATATAAGAGCAGATCCGGGAAGTTTTTTTTTAAGTTCCAAGGGTTGGTCTTCTCACCATGCAAGAAGATGCCATACTTTCGGTATCAGATGATGGTTATTCTTGTTGACATGCAGGTGGATATTATTTTTCTGAAGTGGATCGATTGCTACGGCCCGGAGGTTTGTATTTTTGGATCCAGGTTGGAAGCGATGACGAAGAACGGATCGATGAGCAGTCTGTCATGAAGAAGCTAAATTGGACATTATTGGCAAGGTGAGGTAGTGTTTGATTGCTTTCTCATCTTGTTGTCGGAAGATACATGAGTGTGAATCACTGCTGAACGTTTGCGAATGAAGTGGGCAAAATTGACTCAATTTAGTGACTTGTCGTGACTTGCTTAGGTATGTAAATGTGGGGGTTTCGTCAAGCGACATGTTTATATGTTTCCATTTGCAGTGTGCTGAATGTGGATCTCGCACGGAAGAGGATCTCCCATCTCTTGTCATCTTTCTGTTCACTGGATGTGGCTTGATACATCATCGTGCCCTTCAGTCTCCTTACGTGTTCAGTCCTTGTGGTTGATCACGTGTTTTTCGAGTGTTACATCATCGTGAACGAGACCGCAACTTGCTGTCAGTGCCTGTGAACTCGTGCTTTTTTACAAACGAGTTATAACTCTTCTTATTGTAAGACGTGCACTTCATCCCATGGGATGTTTCTGCTTGGTTTCCTTTTCCCAACTGCCCCTGCAGGCTGTTGTTTTGATACTCTATGAATGTCTGCTTATCGAATCTGTCGATCTTTAAGCAGAATGCTCTGCCACATTTCCGGCCTGTTCTTTAGTGCTTCAACGTTACTACGCGTCGGGTTTTGTCTGATCTATTCTCCATGGTTCCACCTCCTGAGTCTGTGCCTTCGGTCTCCTTTTGTGTTAAGCCCCTGCAGTTGATCACGTCGTATTTCAATCGTGACATCATCATCAAGAGAGTCTAGAAGTTCATGGTTTTAAATGTGAAACTTTGCCTCGAATTTCAAAGCAGTCTCACATTGGTCGATTTCTTGCGAGTAGCCTATTCCTCAAGCTCCTACATTGAGACATGAAAATCAACTTCAGAAACCAGTTGGGAGTGGGCTTGAAAACCGAGTGTTTCATGCCGGTTGGGTTCCGTTAAGGCTGAAATCTCTTTTCTTTGCTGAGTTTGTAGTTTTTAGAAATACTATTACGTTGAGTGCCAAATCGCAATAATTGGTATAAGATTGTCATAGCTCCCTGGCTTAGTTATGCTAGTTGTCAAGAAAAAGATTGATCGATGAACACAGAATCAGAAGAGGAACACCGTCTTAGGATCCAGAAGACTGTATAGGGCTTGTTACTTAATAGGGTTTGGGGTAATTTTCCATAGACGAAGCGAGTTCAGGAATTCCGGGTGTCAACCAATAATCCTTTGGATCTCTCATCCACCTGTAAGGTTGTGTTTAAAAGATTAGGTCACGAAGATACCCTAACACATTACGCTCTTCTCTTTTCAGATTTTGATGGTCTAAGCCTGTTTAAGTTTGTCCACATAACTTTGTCCACAATCGGAATGTGTAATGTCCAAATAAACTGTCTGATGCATTCTTGTGTCTCCTTGTTGTCAGAGAAATGACAAGATCAGCCTTACCATTCATCCATTTAACCCCCTGCCTTCGATTTTGAATAACTTTTGTAGATCGCGTGCAGGTTTGAAGATTTCTCTGTTTGGAAGAAAGCAGAAGACAAGAACTCTTACATGAATTTCGAAGTCAATGGTCTGGTTGGTGAAGCCTCTGGGTACATACACCACTTACATAACCCCGAGTTTGTTCTTGTCTCTGTACCTAACTAGCTTTATTTACGTGAATAGAAATCGCAAAGAGAACTGAAGGATTTAGTTCTCTCGTGTTTATTCTTACTTTTGAATATCAGATTATGAAGACTAACAGGCTCTTGTTTCTAGAAGTCAGGAAGTCAATAACACATATTTCTTTCTAGCCAAGGTACAATGAGGCAGGGTTTAGGAGCGAGGACTTGACTAGGTTGGAATTCAACTCTGGTGTGCATAAGTCGAAGCGCCTGAGTTTGGGTTCCCTGCCATCTGCTCTATATGAAAAGCTAATTTACAATGCTTTCAATTCTTTTGTGTAGAGTCATCAAGCACGCAAGCAAATTTCTACACAGTCGAAATCTGGCGGAGGTTGAAGCTCTCTCAACTCTAACACTCGATTCAAAGTCGCAGCCTTTATACGGCCCCAGTACTGACATCTGGAGGAGTAGGGTAGCTCAATATTCCGAGTTACTCGGGGAAAGTCTGGTTAGACAAGTGAGGAACGTTTTGGATTTAAATGCTGAACTTGGAAGGTCAGTTTTGAATTATAATCTGGATTTATCGCTGTCATTGCTGCCCAGCATTTCTTACTGTCAGATGATACAGGGGCATGGTTTCACCAGTCGGTTCTTGTGTTGTTTCAGTTTTGCAGCCGTACTCATGCAACATCAGCCAGTGTGGGTGATGAATGTAGTACCCACAGCTAACCCGGAGATGCTAGAATCTATATACAATCGGGGTCTGCTCGGGATTCAGCACGATTGGTAAGTGTATGGAAGAACAAAAGAGGGATATGTGCAGTGGTTTTGTGGTGAATTATAATGAGCTTCTTCCTTTTTTGAGATTCATTGTCGTCTGTTTGTTCTTCGTTAAGGTAATGTGCACTCTCACGCATGTTACTATTTTCCTACTTTGCTGATATGCCGAATGAGAGCAAAATCACACTAATCATAATCGTGTATGTAGACTTGTCATGTTAACTATCGTACTATCATGGTTTTTACGTGACAGGTAACTGTTTATATAATGTCTGATTTTTCACAGAAGCTTGAACTTATAAATCTGGGTTATCTCATTGCATCTTGAGAGAATGCAATGAATCTCTCAAGTGCATCTGCATTGGTACATCATGGGATTCAAAAAATGCATTCAGTTCTGCCCAGGCCTCTGCAGCTGTAGAATGACGTGCGATCAATGGATGTTGATGGTCTTCCAACGAGTTACTTAACACCGCCAAGGCCATGAGATTTTTGACATCCCATTCTTGTTTACTGCCAGCGCCTGACTCTGGAGTTCTTGTTGTAGACCCCGATGGAGTGCTTGGCCTGACTTCGACCCCTTCCATGATGTCCATTAGTCCTTCCAGTTGAAGGATTAAACTAATTTTCCCCTTCCATGCATGGAAATGTTCCCCACTGAATTTGGGGAGGGGGAGCTCTTTCCATGCGAACCGGGTTGAAACCCCAGGAGAAGTCATCTCCCTGAACTCGAACTATACTCTGTGCTGAGCTTCACGTTCTGCCGAAGTGAATCTTCAAAGAACAAATCTTCAAACTTTGAACTCTAAACCCTAACGCTCTGATACCATAACAGAAGTGAGGCAATACAAGAAAGAGTCGAGAGACACAGATACTGAGTACTGGAGAGCAGATCTTAGTTATGTTATACATAGGACCTGGATTGGGTTTAAGTACCCAATCCGAGGTGACAAGGGAAACTGGTATTTACACCCGCGTAGTGGGAAGGGTAGTGGTGTCTAATGATGACAAGGACACCTCAATAGTAGTGGGGTAGTGGCGTAGTGGGCTGCAGTCTAACAATGATTACACAAGAAGCAGCGTAGAAGGAATAGGGAGTAATCAGTATTCTAACAAAAGAAAAGCAAGTTGATGCTTCACTTTGATCAAAGGATTGGATCAAAGGCAATATTAAGAAAGATGGCCTTTTGATCGTAGACATATTGTAAGCCTTACTGGTGAAGCGTATAATGGCTAAGCGAACGTCGGTTGTTGTGTGTAATTGGTGAGAATGCACCTAAGTAGATCTGAATTTTGTGTACAATACGTGATGTATAGGTCTGAAGCATTTCCTACGACCCCAAGAAGCTACGATCTTGTGCATTCTTCACGAGCTTTTTCGTCTTCAAAAGGGTATGTGCAGTAGACTTAATTATCTATCGTACGAGAGTTGACGAGCGTGTAAGGTATCTCTGGATTTTTCCTATTCACAAAGGTAGGGAGGGGAAGAACTATGAAACGATTGCTTATGCCCCGTATGCCTGGAGTATCAAACCCTAGAACATAATTAGCCTAATTGGTTAAATTCTACGTTTTTAAAGTCTCAATATTCATCTTTTGCCATTTGCACTGTCCGCGGGGACCCGTCGTTTATAGTCTTTAGGGATATACTAGTAAGTACCCTTGTGCTCAAATGGCGCTCATCATTATCGGCTTTTACAGAGTGAAAACTATCGACTTGATACTGGAAGTTGACCGTATACTTCGACCTGGAGGTTTGGTGATCGTGAGAGATTCTGTGAAGACTGCTCTCAAAATAAAATCCTTGTCAGGCAGTGTTCGATGGCGGGTTTTATTTGAATACCCCGGGGTTATTGAGACGGCGGAGTACGTGGTCATCATGGAGAAGGAATCTGACACACGGTGAGTCAGTCTGCCAAGACAGAGATTTGTTCCCTACCCCAACTGTGTTTGGACGAACCTTCAGAGGAGAAGGATCACAATCTAACATGATTATTCAGCGTCTGCTCCATCTCAATTGAAGTATCACCTCAACCATGATTCTTTTCCCTCAGTTAGGGAGTGCAACTCCTTTTCGCAGCAAAAGCTTTTTTGCCTTCAAACGTGTTGCAACAGTGTGGGATTGATAAACGTACAGGGCCGTAAGACCTCCGAATGACAGGATCCTCGCGGTTGACATTTTTACATCAGTTCCAACATTAGGCAGGTAGAAATTTATTAGGGTGGATTGTTAATATTGTCTTCCTCATTGTGATCAATGGAAGTTTCCAGTGCCATGGGAAGAGTACAGTCTCATGCATCCATTCAGTTCTGCTCAATGCCTCTTTTGTCCATGAATGTTGATCACTCTTTGTCTATGCTGTGCTGACATACAGTCACGGCAACAATATGAAGGGCACCGGAAATTTGGAACTACCTAACATTGACATCCCAGAACATCTTAACACCATTCCCACGAACCTCACGTTCACCTTCTTGACGTCGTAGGTATGTCTGCACTACTGCTTTACATATTCCAAAAGTATCGCACCACTTTTCTCCACATCTCCTACATCCTCGGGGACCCCGAAGGCGATTGAAAGGCTGTTAGACCTCCGGCCCGAACTTGAGAGTAATAATAATTTACGACAAGTCTTCGAGAATTTTTTTAAAATCTCAATCTCAACTTATCCCCGCTGGCCGACCAGCCATTTAAAGGCGGGTGCAACTCAACTGCCGGTTCCGGTCCCAAAAAAAGTGTCACCCTAATAGGTTGCATTTCTTCCAGAAGCCCGAACAGTATTCGGAGAGCAAATGCGTGCACGAACTTAGCCTGTTTGCTTGCTGGGCCTTCACATCGTGATGACCTGGACTAGATCCCAAAGAATGTGGCACCTTGGCTCAACGAGGGCATTTCATGGGCAGCAGCGACAGGATCAGCGACAGCAAAGTGATCCAATGATCTCCTCTGAATGTTGCAGTTTACTGTGTTCGTTGCAAGTCCTTGTTCTGGACGTTGCGGATCGATCACGGAAGTAATGCAATCACGAGGTTACCGATGTGACCCTAAAATGCTGAAAGAAATAGCGGGTTCATGCTAGGCGTTAACTCTCAACTGTACAAGTTTCTGGGTTGAGACGGTTACAACGAGGCAACTCCTGGTAGGTTTTCGAGCTGGATGTGGAGGTGCATTGTAGGACCAGTCTGATCAGAAGGCTGCCAATGGCGGAAATGTGTTTATCAAAGCAGCATCCCATGTTGGTCGACGAAGTAGATCAGCAAAGAAAAGGCGATGAATACGAGCGGCGAGCTGCGAACGAAGTCCGTGGCTGGGCAATTTTTTGTGGCGATTTCGAGAACGCAATTAACCTGTTGGAGAAAGCTTGCAGTCTGTATAAGCCCTTGAAAGCGTGTGAGACTCGTTTTTCTGCGGTGTCATACTTACAGAGTCAAAACAGTCAATCAGTCTTCAGAAACGGCAACATGTGTCACTGATTGATTGGGGTTCTGAAGAGATGTTCTGAAGTTGTTGCAATTAGTGTAATCACCTTCGACTTCTCTCGCGCTTTTGGCCAAGAAAATTCAAGTTTAATATACTCGGGAAAGAAAAGTGTTGTGTTTGTAAGATGTCTGCGATAAAGTAACTTTCAGGGGCCTTCATAATTGAAACTTGATTCCTTGCGTGGAGCTCGTAGTTGACAAGCTGGCTGGAGTGCACATGAAGATTGCGCGCTGCTACTTGAAGGTCATTGGCACAGTACGATGTTGTATGAGTAACTCATTGATTACATCATCGGCAAGGTTTTTTCAATTAAAGAATCCTTTGCCCCTAGAATCAGAACCTACAATGTATGGCTTAATCTAGCTAACAGCCGCGTGAGCGGTGGGTTACGAGAGCAGTCCTCCTGACATGTCCATGTACGAACAGATGGGAAAAGTTGAAGAAGCAGCTTCGACGTATGTGGCGGCTGCTCAGTATTTCAAGAAGTATCCAAGCGAAGGTTTATTTCAGAGGCCTATTAAGTTCCAAAGTCCTGCTCCTCTCTTAGCATATCTGACAACCAGCCTGATTCTAGCTATGTACTTCCCTGATTCTGTGAATTCGACCGGTTTCACTATGCATTATTCAATAAAATATCCATCCAACCTTCCATAAAGTTAGGTCCATGAAATCAATCTTCTCACTAGCTTCAACTTCTGCCAGGCGCGGTAACATGTCTAAGCAGAGCGGCTATGCTTTTCGAAGAAATCGGCCAGCTGTCCACGTCTGCCCGCTACTTTCAGGTGCAGCATCTTCACTCGGAGAGGAGCTAAGAAGTGCAGTCCCGTCGTTGTACACCATAGAGTCGCACTTGGACTGGCACTTGTTGGTCATTGTTCATGGAAGGATTCACTCTCGGTTGACTGCCAGGAACTTGGGGATATCTTTGAGGCAGAAGGCAAACTATCGGAATCCAAAGAACACTATCGAAATGCAGCAGATCTTTACTTGGCAAACGATTCTCAGGTTTTGAGCAACCAATGCCGAACGAAGGTAGCAAAGCACGCGGCTGAGCTTGAACGGTGAGGAATTCGTAATCAAGATTTAAGATAAATCAATTTCGGGTCGTGTCATGCCTGAATTCGATCAATTGATCAGTTGTTCATGTCAATCCAACGACGTTTAGAGACCTGCATTCACAGCAAATTTCTTCATATGGCTGGCACTACTGAAGGTATACAGAAGCGATTCCCTTGTTTGAAGCTTTGGCCAGGGACGCGGTGACTGCTGCCGCTTCAAAGAAGACGGTCAGGGAGATGTTTCTCTATGCCGGACTGTGTCACTTATGCTCGGTTGGTGGCAATGGTGGCGTCGTGAAAGAAGCTTTGAAACGCTTTCAGGTGAGAAAGAGAATTTCGAAAGAAAGTCAATTGCCAGGTGCATGCTTTCGTGCTCGCTTTGGGTCCGACCTTTGCATGCCCATGCCTGACTGCGAACCATTTCCGCTCGTGTTTGATGGATGTAGGAAGTCGACCCAAACTTTTCGAGCAGCCGTGAAAGTAAAATCATTTTTGTAAGATCTCTCTCTCTCTCTCTCTCTCTCTCTCAAGTGATGAATATTGAGTTTCGCACCTACAACTGAGATGACAGCTCGCAAGTTGATGAGGAAAGGCTCCCTTCTACTTATCTCTCCATCATCATCATCATCATCTCATACAAGCTGTACCGTCAACGCAATGCAACAACACGAACAGACTCAATTTCGAGACAAGCAATAATTGCCATAGCGTATACATGCCTGGTTGCTCTCTCGTGGCGCTAAGAAACCAGCTGAAAAGCGGTTGGTTGTTCTGGGCTACAATTCCTGCACAGTACTTGTGAGGTCACATCTCACATGCAGTGTGCAGGAATTGTTCGAACGAACTTCTGGAATCCCCATAAGCTTCGCATTTGGCGCATCCTGGACAAATTACTACCACTGCACTTGCGGTTTCCATGAAGCTTTAGGGGATCCATGTATCCAATTCGGTTCTCTTGAACCCATCCGAGATTCTCATGAAAAACTCACCGTATTGTTCAGAACACTGTGCGGCTACTATACGGAACCAGGTCAATTCATTCAGGGACCTGAACTCTACAGGCCGTGAGCCTTCCAGAGCTAGTCGACTTTGGACTTGATGACGTGACCTGGTTCCATAATGAAGTTGCGAACATACTCCAAGTACGAGCATGATATCCGACAATACAAGTATATTTACTCGAATGATCGGACAAGTTGAAGATGATCAATTACTTCAAACTTGAGCGTATAGTATTAGCTCACTAGTGTTGAGAATGTTAAGAATTCAGGATGTGCTATTCAGGAGATTGGCTTACAGTTTAAAGTGCCTTCAGACCAACGAGGAACTTCTATTTACAATGTTTTGTGATCCCTGCAGTATTACGGTAGTCATGGGACTAGCTCAGATTCATTTCTTAGTGAACGGAACGTACTGAAGGTGCATTCGTGTGACTGCTGCAGTACTTCGCAACTGCATTTGAGAAGAAGAGCCGCAATCTTTACACGGAGGTCCTCAACACTCATGAAGTGCTGTTCCGAAACGTAAATCTCTCGAATCGACTGACTGAACTCATTCTGTAATGCAGTCACTCGGGGCCAGGATTGAGTGAACCGTCTAATATTTAATAAGTGTCACCAAGTATTCGAGCCTAATGCAGGAATGGTACAAATGGGACTAAACCAATAGGCTCATGACATTATCTATCACTATGCAAGCAGATATACGCTTTTTGCGACTCAAAGCGTCTGATGTAAAAGTACGGCTCGATCTGTTGGAACAGGATCCTTTGGCAAGACTGCTTGCCAACAGAGGTCAGAAGAAACTGAAAGCCCTACCAGCTCGGTTGAAGACCACAAGACAGGATTCCGAAGTACAGCAGGCGAACTTAGATCAATTGGGGGAACCTATGACGGACACTAACGAGGAAATGACACAATGACTGACAGTGAGTAGTGGTGACACTGTGATATGGCAGCCTCGGTGGGTTGTTTGTGCATGTCTCTTCCGAATTCGAAGATGGGATGATCAAAATAATTGGCAGCAGGAAGGGAGGAGGTTTATGACAAATCGAATGGATTGTGCGGGAGCTTGAAGTGGCAAGATCCGGGAAGACAGATGCTAACCTAAGTTAGGATCTGGAGCTGGCATTCGAAGTCCTGATCTGATTCACATGTGACAAAGGACCTCAGGGGTTTCTACAGATGGATGTAAGAACATCCCGTTCAGATCAAACGCATGGCTGCGTTTACTGTCCCCTGTAATATATTAAAAAAGCCCTATCTGTACAGACACGGAGTCTCAGAGAACCGGACGCAGAGACCGGGCACTTTCCATCACAACAAGATGTACACGAGACTTGGAATATTCCTCGCTGCTGAGTGAAGAAGAGACGAGCCTGGTAGTAGCAATCTGATCCCTGATCAAACAACTCTCTGACACCCACAATCTGCAGAATATAATCGAATCCGCCATGCAAGTCAATATTCGACGTCTTGGGAGAGAGATCCTTTCTGGATGGCTTTTGTGCTTGGCGACGTTGCCACTCTATCGAGGGTTTCACATATGTAGCTAATCTGATGAGATCCATGTATCGGAGACTTCCACAATAATTAGCATTTCACGAGGTTCTTTAGATTGACCTCTGTACATAGCTACCCTTGCAGCCGCCTGCCAGATACATGTTTGCACGGGTTTCCAAATTCACGTGACAAGCAACTTGGAAAGCGGGCCATCCGTCTTAAACACAGACGGAATGATTTTGTTCCGAGTCCCTTCTCTCTCTCTCTCTCTCTCTCTCTCTCTCCTCTCTCCTCTCTCTCTCTCGTACACTACTCATTCCCTCATCTCACAACTAGTCCCAGGAGTAGGCCGCCCATCTCATCCATATCCCCGTTTTTTGGCTGCTTCGATGGATAAGGACTTGTCCTCTCATACTCAATCAACTGCACTAGGCTCTACTGCTGTAGGTTATGACGACCCTGGTCTGGTCGCTGGCTGTTCTGTAGCCAGAATGTGTGACAGCGATGAAGCCCCAAGGTGCCGACCTGGAAAGGGAAATGCAAGGGAACAGAAGTGCCTGAAGGGAAATAACCAGAAAGACGTTTCCGAAGGAGAAGAACCACAGAAACAACTGAACGCTGAAATCAACTAAGATTCGAGTATCCATCCATCCTTCCGCCATGACTCTTACTCGTAGCGATAATTGTCGACGATCGGAGCCGAGTCTACCTGCTGCTACCATTGATGTCGACGTCGCCGCTCTATCCACTCAATATCAGAAACCGCAGTGCTGCTAGCTGAACCATCTACTCGAGCAGCTGTTAATTTTCGAGGATTATGAACTTAAATGTACTATGCACTGGGCGATGACAAGATTTTGCGTGGAAGAAATCTGATTATCCGCCGATGGACTTAAGTCAATCACGAGAATCAGTCTAAATGTGACCTCAGCACAGTCGATCGCGGGACCCCGCTCGTTGTTGTGGTTTTATTGCCACTGCCTTGCGTTCATGGACTCTTACTCTCAGTCACATCACATCTCCTCTCGAGCTGGAGGTAAACTCTCATCTGAAGACAATTTTGTCAGCAGAGCGGGCGCTGCCGGTGGGCTACAGACTGCGCGAGCTAACTTCGCTCAATCGAGCGCGCCTTGGCTTGAATTCCAGCGAAAGCTCCGGCAGTGCGAGCTCGGACGACACCAGAGCCGGCGTTTCCCGCCTCTGAACTCCCACACCACAACCGTCCCGACCCCTACAAAGATTTCTCGTACAGGATTTGGACTCGTAGGCCGACGAGGAGCAGCTACCGAACCTATGAACAATTCTTTCTGCGAACACCATGGGTCACCGTCACAGATGACCAGAAACTTGAGATAAGATCTCTGGACCACAAGGGCTACCAGGTATGGTGAAGGGGGTATAATAGCACGTGAATCTGAAAGCGAAAGAACGAAGAATGGCCTCAATGGTTGCTTGCAATGGTTTCATGAGTAAGATACGTAAGATGAAACAAGATGCAACGACATTATTCAAGTGAGCGCTTAATGCTTACGAAGTGCCACCTGCACTCCCCGATTGGATAAAGCGAGTGTGTCTTAAGTACTGGTTTCCTCCGAATGGTGACGAGAAATCTGACTCTTTCCTCATTGCCCCAAGATGTGGAACTTTCGTACCCCTTTAGTGCTGACAGTTGAAAACAACAATAAGAACATTCTTTCCTGGACGATCAAGTCTTTCTGGTTTCCTGATGCATCTCTAACTCTATTCATGAAACTGAAGTACGATAGTCGTAGAGCACAGAGAGGATGGCAGTTTTAGTTCTCAAAGCTGACGAGTACAGACGTGTCTTTCAGTGCAACCGAAACGAAAATGGAATTGACAAATAAGAGCGGTGGTGAACGTATCGAACCAGTGATATTCCGCTAGTACAGCTGATTTCAAGCGTACACTGTTTACAAAACTCGAGATGCTTCTGTCACATGAACCACATACTACATACACTCTACAGTTATCCCACAGCGTCTTTGTAGTCGTGTCGCGCATTTACATTTGTCAAATGCATTCGAAAACATCCAAAAGAGAGAGGGAGAGAGAGAAATCATTGATCATTGTGGGGGCAGGGCTGGGCAGAATAAGAGGGTGACTTGACGTCATAAATACTCGTCGAGCCAGTCGAAATGTCTGGGTTATCCACCTCATCAAAGATTCCACTGAACTATACCTTGTCTGGTATGATTGCACATACTGTAGTTATCGAATAGGTTTTGTTTGGATCGTCTCGGACGAAAATTAAACCGAGACAGGTTTGGTCTAAATGAGACCCTAGTTTGTTGTCTGACTCTTGAACTCGACCACATGTACTTCTTACACTTTAACTTCTCCACTTTTGACTGCTGAGACTTTTCTTCCGTGACATGATGCCACAGATACAGACCTCAATCACATACCGAGCAGTTCTTTTGGAGTTTGGGTACTTACCCAAATAGGAATAGCCGAATTTTGATCTCTGAGTTCTACAGTGCAAAATCTCCCGATATTACGTTCGATTGGGTTTCTTGTTATTTTTCCACTTGTCACGACTAATCTCGTTTTGAAACTATTAATAGTGGACGGTTATATGCTTGAAGATATTGTTATAATTCTATTCCACCGGAGTTCTTTTGATTAATATAACAGAACCTTTTAGCCGCTAGTCATTTCTTTGACCCAGATATCACTTATCTTTGGTGATTTCACGCATCAGATGGATATCTACACTTTTGATAAGCCTGTTCTCATTGACAATATCATGGAACAGTTTGCCTCTCTCAATGATGATCAATGGCTGGAGATCAATTGCGTGGCTATATTTTTCTGTGTGCTCTGCTAGGTCATGCAAAATCTTGTAGCAAATCACAGGCCGACTCTTTACTTGATGCCGTTATTTATTGCTCATCTTGCAAAGCATTGCGCAACAAGTGAGGTGCAGCCATTGATAATCTATCCCAAGGTTGCAGTAATCGGAATGCGAGAATAGATTGAAGAATATGAAACATTGTTGGTGCTAGAACTCGCCATAGTTGCAACCTACCTCAACCCGCAAATATCAAAATCATTTGACCCTTTGCAACTGAAAAAGTTGACACATTTCAATACACTCGTCAATGTTGCTACTCGGCTGAGTTGCAGTCCAACAATTTGACAGTCGAGCCCCAAGTGCTGAACAATATGCTTTTCAGGGCCATGTTCCAGCCAGAGTTCAATAATAGCATGCTTGATGAGGAAAACCAATTCCTATCAATCTAACTCGTGTAGTGTAAGCATTTTATTGACATCTTGTCTTGATGCTCAGCCCGCATGAAAAATCCTACGTGACCACTATCCGATGATCATGGATTATCTTGGAACACTGGCGAGTCGACGCCATCTGAGCGTGTCAACGGCGTTATTGATCGCAAATTTTCCCGCACTCGATAGTCCCTATTGTCATCGATGTTCATCATGATCATGTGTCAGCGCACATGGATGGATGCAAAGATACTCAAGATATAACAAATAGAGCGGCAACAGGTGCGAAATCAGATCGGTTGACAAAGAGAATCCTACTGTCGAGATTGAAGACACCTCAACCAATTGGAGAATGAACAATATGATTGGTACAAGGAAGTCTTCGATGACTCCGTCGTAGATGCTCAACAATCAATACAAAGTAATGGCATTTGAATTCAATTTGAACTAAAGGATTCTCAAATAAACATTATGAAAATTATGTTGTAAATTTGACTTCTTTATTTTTTTATTCTTATTGGAGTGATAACCGAATTAACCAATAGAGTAAAGGTATGTGTAAAATATGCTCATTGTGGTAAGGGTAGGGGTAAAGTAAAGATAGAGGGCATTTTATTACCCATTAAACATTTACCTTACCTTGCCAAGGCCTAATTTCAATTCTTCCCAAAAGTGACTTTTTGTGTCATGACTTCTTTCTTCGATTAAAAAGATGAAGATTTTGGTTTTGTCTGCAATTTTTTCAATATTAAAAGTCTTTACCGTACGAAGATTTAATTATTTGAATATAATCAATATATTAAACTGCAGGAAGAAACCATGCATGTGGTGGCTAACTTTTTAACTTGAAATTTAAAGAATTTAAAAATGTCTTTATTCATAACCAAATCATCTAAGTCTATATTTTCAAAAAGTTCTGGACAAAATACGTAAATTTCCAATATAGAAAACTATTTGATTTTATATATGAATCATATACAATAATATTATGATGCGGTAGGATATTTTTAGTCTAATGTTTATTCAAAATGTTTAAAAAATCAGTTCAGAGATCTTGATCTCCCTTTAGAATCAAACATCTTATGTAAAGCGTATATTAACCACTAATGACACGATCTTCTTATAGAAATCAGATCAGATATCGACGTTTTTCAGCATCTAATAAGAATGCAAGTTAGAATCTATCTTGCAATTTAAATCTTAGTTTGATAAGGGTTGATACCTAAACTCAGTCAAACTAATAAGAAAAATGTTATCGAAGAATAAAATAATACTTCCATGCGATTCAAAACGTTGCTTCAATAAGACCTTTTTTATATCTCAATAATTATATAAAAAAGTCGATAGCAGTTTGAGAGTCACTTTTGAAGCCGTGAATATACAACGAACTCATTTGTTATCGATGATGTGATAATGATTGTCTTTAGAATCAAGCAAATTCATTGGACGCTCTTCTTGACTAACCAGTAAACCAGCCATTGAATCTTTCTGGGGCGTGTGCTATCCCTCATTTTTCCTATTTCTATCGATCACAAAGGGGTGATGGATTGGCATTCATGGAAATCAGCTCATCCATGAAAAGCATAAGAAGAGTAACTTATTCCCATCGCGGATCTGTACGTGGAGTGTAGAAGAAGTGGAGGAAGGGATTCTTGGATCTCCACTGGCCGTTCATCGAAATTTTTAGTCTGCCCAGAGTCCCGCCAGATGATTTCAACTAGTTGTGAGACATTTGTTCCAAACGTTTAAAAATTCTTTGCTTTACGTTCGAGTCACAATAGTAATAGCGAGCCACTGTGGATCACTCGTTTTACAAAGGGGAAGAGAGAGAGGCTCAAGGGGAGACTATGGACTAGGCACATTAATAATTTGGTGAGATATATCTATATATGCATTAAAACACCAACAATATTTGAGGTATCAATATCAAACCATATATAAACAACAGATTTCACATACATAAAGTGACCATACACAAGGTATCTAAATTACATCTTGTTACCTGGTATACATTATTGTGCATTATATGCACAATAGCATATAATATTTATTTTTCCACAATCATGTCAAAATTGAATCCATTTTTTCGTAGTGTTTCAATCCTATTAGGCTGCGAGGCACGCTTATCATCGAAAGGAATGATAGAGTAACCATTCCCTTAGACATTATGTCAAGTCCAGCTTAGGTAGACCATCATAATATACAATTAGTTTTAATTTCCGTTGAGCCAAGTATAGATCCGCATTTATCATAACTATTTCATACATCAACATTCTCTCCTTGCGAATTATTTACCTCATCCAATCACAAGCATCAGACACATCTAATGACATAGTATGTAGATATCTTCTAAATGGATGTCAAATGAATCTATTTCTGAATCTAGATTAATATTACGCTCAATGAATATACTGAACAATCAATCAAAACTAAATCTATAGTGTATATATCACGTTTACCTTGTAACATTAAATCTGTGCAGTAATTGAATTATATTTATCGCAAAAATTTTCTTTTAAATACTTGTGAGTTGTAAGACACAGTTTGTGCTTGTAAAAGTAAAAAACATAGACGGTTGACTCGGAAAGCCAATCGATAATGATCAACACTAACATTAGAGCCAGGCACACCAGCTCTATCACCCACGCTTCAAATTCAGTCAAATTGATGCGCGTGACTATAAATGTGTGGGTTTGACGTTCTACCAATGATCGAATGAAGAAAAAAATACACACTTCGCGAAATCCCTCGAGATAGGGATCGCTTGTGTTCACTTTGTGTCCTGATAATGATTCCTAGCATTTTAATGGTGTGAGTTCTACCTCTACGTTCCTTGTATTTTTTCGAACCTATTGCTTCCGTTTCATTATTGTATCTATCAAGACGCAAAGAGAGCTTTCTTGAGGGCGCCAAAGAAATCACCTCGGTACAACATCTCAATCGATAAAACTACGAGAACCTCCGATTTTCAATCTTTGTTACGTCTTCTAGACTTCGTGCAGTAGCCTCCAATCACATGGTAATCAGACCAGAGAGCTCAGACGGCTCTCTCGACCTTCACCGATTTCGTGCTCATTGATTAATCATCGAAGTTGCTTTAACAGAGGCCAAAAAATTTGAAAGGGCCTAAACCTCGGCAGGACAAGAACTGGATCCGAAGCGAGGAGAGCACAAGACAGGAGAAGGAACTGCGAGCGAGGCAGAAGAGCGCATAAGAACGAAATTCTGGATCGTGGACTGGCAACGTTATTGGCCTCCTGGCTCGGCCACAGCTGCGGCGTCGTGTGGTGGAAATGGAAGACGTGAGGAGCCGTGAACGGGGGAGGCAAAGCAAGACGCAGGCGCGAGAGCGGAGTGTCGATGGCGCACCAGTGGCACCGCCACCCACCACCACCGAAACAGGATGTCGTTGTGGACAAACAAGTGGAAAGGGAAAGCGAGGCGCAGCGAGAGGCGAGTGCAGTTGCCAGTGGAGAGGAATGATTCGGGGGTCTGGTGGAGGCCGAAGAAGCGAAGATCCACCACCGGAGTTGGATAAGAGGAGAGGCGGAGCGGACAATTCGGTTCCCGACGGACCCCGGGGCAGAACGCTTCTCACAGTTGGGCGAGCCGACTGATCCGAGCTGGCACCAGCCGAAGGCAGCCAGAGCGTCCGTCGAAGTGGTGACAGCTTCCCGCAGGCCAGAGGCCGAGAGCAGGCGCAGCAGCCGGTCAGGTCGGGTGCGGGTGCTGCTTGACTGCGCTTCGGCCACTGCCTGCCTGCCCGCCTGCCTGCCGATGTCCGCGTCCGCGGCCCCGAGAGCCGGTGAAATCTGAATTGCCTCGCGCAGGGACGAGAGAACGAGGAGAACGGGTGCGCAGCCGAGCAGCGTCGAGAAATTGTCTGCGCCCGATGGACGGTCGCCGACGCCGAAGCAGAGTGTAGACGCAATTTCAAATGGACTTGTGGTTTTCTTTCCTCTCGAATTCCCCTCTGGAGCCCCGTCAGCTGCTGTTCCTGTTCGGTGAAACCCCTGGTTCCGTCTGGCGCGGATTGCTGAGTACTCTGCGCTGAGGACGCGCAGGATCGAGGTTCGATTTTGTTGTCGGAGCCGCGACCTCCTCATTTGTTCCGGCCGGGACCATGGTTGAGGTGGTGCCAACGCGGTTTGGTGCGGGGCCTGGGGCAGTCAGGCCAAGATTTTTGCCAAATGAATCCGTGCGCTCAAGCTTAGACGTGGTGGGCAGCAATTGCAGATGGCCAATTTTGAGGGAGAATGTGAGAGCTGGAAGCATGATGCTTGTGCATGCGGTTAGTAGCAGCAGTTTCCTGCCCTCTCGGCTTTCACCGTCGTGCAGGTTGAGAACAAAGAATAACAGGTACTCTTCTCCTCCGCTCTTTCCCTCCAGGAATTGGCTGGTGCAGGGGGGGAGGTTCATGACACTGGCAAATTTACTCGTCAATCTCACGCCCGTTGTGTGTGAAGTCGCCCCTTCAGTGACTTTCTCGTTTTTGCATTTCTCTCTGTTAAAATTCTTGTATGTATTTTTCTTTTTCTGGTTCAGCGAGGTACGAGTCATTTATTGTTGTGTCGTTGCCACGGGGGAAGTCGCAGTGCAAGCTCAAGAAAAGCTCAAGCAAAGAAGAACATCAGGGACCGGCAACCTTTGGATGGGGACAGTCAGTCTGCTGATGACGTCAGAGAATTTCAAGCTGGAAAAAATTCTCCCCCTTCTCCAGACGTTAACCTTCCGCGCGGAGCTGAAGGGAACGGAGCTGGGACGGCCACCGCCCAAATAGAATCGCTATTATCTCCTGATCAGATGAACCAGGCACCAGAGAGTGTGGCGTTGGATGGCGGAGCAGACACGAAAATTGAGATCCCACAACCGGTAAAGGAGAAGGAAGATATGAAGACGTCCAAAGTGTCTTTGGTACTCTGACTAGGTCCCTCGTTTGCCTTCTTTACTATTATTCATTCGCTGCCCACATTTGCTAGTACTGGCCGACCCCAGGATGGTTGGTGAATTGGACTGTCAACCACGTTTCACTGTGAAACAGCGGGTTGAACAGTCTGCTGGTTGGAGACATACACAGCCAATAGACTTCACGGTCTTCAAATGTACATCAGACTTGTTACTTTTTTATCATGATTGGTCTGAGAACATTTTGTCCTGCAGCCGAATCGAGGCAGCTCAAATGAGGAAGGAGGTTCATCTGGTGTTAGCGTCAATGATCTGATGCTAATGATCAAAGAAGCTGAAAAGAGTAAGTTCTTTTGATGGTAATTCGTAAGTGCTCTGAAGGATCGTGACGATGTGTACGTCAGCAGAATTTCTAGTAGGAAATGTAGCGGAGAAATATTGGAACTGTGAGGACAGAGATTCGTTCTGTGAAGTTGAATTTCCACAGTGAGCAGGTGGTAGCAAGCTCTCAATCTGTCTGGATCTTCTGTCGTCGTTAGGAGCTTTAGATTATCAAGCGGAGTAGTGTTCAGCTTGCGATCTTGTGGGTCCGTTCGGCACGTGGTCGTAAGCTACAGATTACTTACTTAAATGTGTTTTTCGTCCATGCCCTGTTTGTCGTCTGGACTAACGGTTCTAAATACCTTTTTCTTTCCACAGACATTATACTTCTCAACCAGGTGCGAGCACGTGCTCTTGAGGAGCTAGAAAACGTTCGCAGTGTCAAAGACGATCTGCAAGGCCAAGTGCATGTATTGAGTGCCCGTCTTGCAGAGGCCGATGCCAGGGCCAAGCTAGGAGACCAAGCCAAAGAGAAAAACAAAATTTTGGAAGGAGAACTGAATTCGCTCCAGGCCAGGTTAGACGAGAAGGAGCTTGAAGCAAAAGCAGCACTTCAGTTAAAAGCTGAGTATGTAACTCTTCAACAGCAAGCCCAAAATCTGGCTGCACGTTTAGAAGCTTCCAGTGCCGCAGGAAGTGAAGTAAAGGTTTTGAAGAGCCAGATCGAGGATTATGAGGAAGAAGTAAAAAATCTCAGAAAACGTGTGGCAGATTTGAACGTGAAGGAAGAGGTCGTACAACGACTTGAAGGCGAAAAGCAGACAGTCCAAGAGTATGCACATTGCTTGGAGCTGAAACTGGCTGAAGTTGAAGAGAAAGAAATTGAGAATGCACGTCTCAAAGCCCGTGAAGCGGTTCTTCAGGCAGAATTAGTTCGATTAAAAGCGGAACTGGAGGAAACATCTGATGCCAGCCTGGTCACACCTCAACTGGTGAAAGAAACTGATCTCTTGCGACAGCAACTTCAAGCACTTCAAGAGTCAATGAAAAGTGCGGAGGAGGATCAACTAGCTCTGAATATGGTACAGGCTGAGAACGCTGCATTGCGAGAGCAGGTGCAAATTTTACAACAGAGGATTTTGGAATCAGACACGGAGATTCGTCAACAACTAGAGTTGTATCAAGATGAAGTGGAGGCTTTTCAATCAAGTTTAGAAGGTTTGAAGGCCGATAGCGGGCTCGGTATTGCTCAAGTTCCAGTTGGGGAGATGCCATGGGACTTTTGGAGCAATCTGCTTCTCCGCATCGATGCACTGATGCTTGGGAAACAACTTTCTCTTGATGATGGTCTCGAATTGAGGATTATGGCATGGCGACGAGAGGCCCGTATCAGGGATGCATATGTTGCTGTGCAAAATGAAAAAGATGCGGATGTTGCCGCAGGTTTGACGGAGCTCACGAAACTGAAGAAGAAGTAAGATTGAGAATTTCTACCAGTAAAGGTCGGCAGGAAGTCGATATTTTTGGACATGGAAATCTAACATGAAAATTAATGGTTCAATTTACCGCTGAAGGGACAATGAATACTGTATTAGCACAATGTCATATGGAGTAAGTCAAAAAGTTAGGATACAAAAAGGATAAGAAACGTAGGTCATGCAGTGACAGTTTCTTGTTTTGCTGCCGTGATTTTGCCTAGTAGTCTTAAACCTTCATAGTGCATCATCTAAGTTAAAATTAAGCTTTAAGTAGGAACAGAATGTTCTTACTTTGAATATCGAAATATTAAGATTTCTCAAGATCAGGAGAGTAGAGGGACTTGCATCTTACCTTGGTATTTCAATTATCGTGGTTGAATACGTATTAATTTTCTGAGGGCGATTTTGAACTCGTATCTGCACCAGGCCTGGGTATCATGTGGTGCACATAGCCGCAGAAATGGCCCCGGTTGCCAAGGTGAGTAGAAGTTCCCTCCCTCTGTTTTTGAATGATGAGGTACAAGACGAGGAGCTACGCGAGATGTGGAATTTACACCTTCGAAAGTTTTGGAAATTTTTGTCATAACATTGAGTTTCATCTTTGTTTTTGCTCAGGTTGGGGGGTTAGGAGACGTCGTTACCGGGTTGGGAAGAGCTCTTCAAAAGAAAGGGCATCTTGTGGAGATCATACTTCCAAAGTACGACTGCATGGACTACAGCCGCATTAAGAATTTAAAGGTTCAGTTCGTTGTCCTCTTATTCTACCACACTGTTTCCGTTTTTTTATTTTATATGGAATGTTTTTCTTCCTCTGCATGAAATAGTGGCCTCCTTTCCTTACAATACGGTGGGCATGTGAAGGCTTTTAAACTGCAATTTTGTATTTAGTAACCAATTTTTTCTTGTTCTTTTGTTGTTAGACTGGTTATTGCTTGGTGGCAACCTGGAACTGTGGATCATTCAGAGCTCAAGAACAGTCTTTTATAATTTACTTATTGCATCATTCGACCTTAGTCTCTTTCCACACGTCTTTACAGGCTCTGTAGTTACTTAACTTACAAGCCATTATTCTAGTTTAGTTCGGCCTTTTACTTGTTTTCTTTTATCCTTTTCGACGATCGATCTGTTGTATATGTTCTGTAATTGAGTTACAAGGACTTTTCGATCTCGTCGGTTCTCTGTATATCGTGATTACAGTGCTCTCGAGTTTTCTGGATGCTGTTCACACCGGAATAATACTTAGGTTTTGCCTTATGTTCAATTATGTTTGTTCTACTTTTATAATTCTTTCCAGGAGAGTTTCCCGTCGACCGGGACTCTCTCAGTTTTCTAGGATGTCGATTATAATTTGCTATTCTGTTCGTTCGCTCCTTGGCTTGTTGGGCTTCAAGCTATGCTGAGCCTTCACGGTCCAGTCCGGACACCTATGCACCTTTGTACCCAGTGATGAAGCAGCTGAGTCTATCTTATTCCACCGTTTTCTACTACTTGTTCATCTTTCTTTCATTTTTTTACCAATTCATTTTTAGTTCTTATATGACAGTTCTCGGTTTCCTTGTCATTTTCTTCACTCCATCTAGTGTTTTTTTCTTGTCTCTCTAGAGTTGCTTCGGTCTATTGCATGCTAAGCCCTTGAGGTTGATGATGTACTATGTTATTAACATAGTACATCATCATTATATGTACTTTATCTGAGTTCTGAACTGGTATAATTATCACACTGCTCGGAAAGGTTATGGTCTTTGCTCTGCTTGCTTGAATCAGGGATCCCAACCTCTCCACCAAGTTTTGGAGCTCTATACTTCAAATTTTGTTCTAATGTTAGGGTGTTACACGTTGACTACGCTTGATGTAATCCTTTTCGGCGCATGAGTCTGGATGCTGGTGAAGCTCACTTTGAACGAACTTATTGGGTGTAGGTTTTGGACGTTGAGCTTTACTCTTATTTTGATGGTCAAACGCACAAAAATAAAATATGGCTCGGTATCGTCGAAGGTATGTCTACTCAACGCTTTAATTCTTCACCTATAACTCTCAAGAACCTAGCAAACCATTCTCTGCGTGCTTCAATTAGTTGAATGAGAATATGTAGACTTTCTTGTCAGGCTGTAAGCCTGGAATCTGTTTTACAGCACTGTTATCTACCTACCATGATACTTGAAGACTAAAACGTTCTTCTGGGTTTGAATTACGTTTAGTCTGACCTGGCCAGGATGAACTTGCAGGTCTTCCCGTTTACTTCATCGAACCCCATCACCCTGCAAAATTTTTCTGGAGAGGACAGTTTTATGGAGAGAACGATGACTTCAAACGTTTCACGTATTTTTGTCGTGCGGCGCTTGAATTTTTGCTTCAGTCTGGCAAAAAGCCCGACATGATTCATACTCACGACTGGCAGACAGCAGCAGTGGTATCCGTCTCAATGTCCCTTTATTTCTTCTTGAGCTCCGGGTAGAATGCTTATTATAAGCGGTGGGGACAGTTGGTGAGGCAGTTATACGTCATGGCTGTGTGATACGCCCATAGAGTCTGATCATACACATGTTGAAGAACCGAGTTCTCTTGAACCCTTTTGTGCGTGTTGAGTACTTCCTGTATTCTTGTCTAGGTGTTAATTCCACTTGTGGTCATGTTATACCCGTTTTCAAAGGGTTTCCTTGTATTCTTCATCATTGCCATTTTGTGTGTTGAGTTAGAGCTTTCTTAATGCTCGAGATCTTTCAATGTATTTGCTTTTTTGACATTAAATATCAATGCTCCTCCTCCAAAGTAAGGAAGATGTTTAATGAATTCTTTCTGTGTAGGCAGAAAGCTGAGCATTTTTACAAACAAATCTAGCTCCCCTCCAGTTCAGAGTGTGCGGATTGTAGGGAAGTTTGCGATCACACGCCAATAAGTTTTTCGAAGTAGTCACTCATGATTATTTACCTCTACTATGAATGTGTTTCATCCTCCTCCTACAGGCACCTTTGTATTGGGATATCTACGTCTCTCAAGGGCTGGACTCTGCACGTTTGGCGTTCACGTGTCATAATTTTGAATACCAAGGCGTCGATGCCCCTGGAGCACTTGCATCTTGTGGGCTCAATGTCCAACAATTACACCGACCAGACAGGATGCAAGACAATTTTGTACACGATCGAGTGAATCTTCTTAAAGTATGTATATATATCTTCAATGGTTGGGAGCACATTTCCAGCTATAATTATTTTGTCTTTTCTGGAGTCTGCGTTATATCTAACATCAATGATATTTTCTTTCAAACAGGGAGGAATTGTCTTCTCGAACGTGGTGACAACAGTCTCTCCAACATATGCCCAGGAAGTGCGAGCTCCCGAGGTACACAGAGACACCACACTTTCTTCTTATAAGCTTAATGGTCCACCGTGAAAACGGCAGTAATGGACTTCGAAAGGAAAGTCGAACGAACTTGCCAAGGGTTCATCTGCTCGGACACATCTCCTTAGTTATACTTTGATGCATAGACTACCCTAGGTCCATTAAACACCTAATTTTGTTTGGGAGACCTAAATTATGTCCCTCCTACGCCTTGTGCCACGATCTAGGCGACTTAGGGGAATTCCTACGCACAGTCCAGAGTTGTCCATGCACGTTTCTTTCTGTTTCGTCTTCATTACCTGGGCGTGATTTGAACCTCACACCCTAGGTCGAGCGTAACATCACGCGGTATCCAATTTTACTGCTAACTGAGATTTCCCTGTGACAGCGCATCTTGCGGAAGATGTGAATAATAACAAGCTGCTGTTTGCATTGCTTTCGCTAAGCATTTTCTCTTGAACGAGAAGTCAATATATTGGTATATACAGTACTGCAACTAATACGACTAGTATTATCAGAATATCATTTTCAATTTCTTCTTCTTCTTATATTCATGAAGTGGAATGATATGATAAATTTTATTTTTTCCCTTAAATATAGATTCCCCTTAGCTATATGTGGTGGTTGAATGTACAAGCTATTTAACATGTGATACATGTCAATTCTTGGCACCTTATAACTACTAGTTTAAATGTTTCTGATTTGACATTCTTGCCCCCTGGTTGTGTGCGTAGGGAGGGCGCGGATTGCATCTTACACTAGCTCAACACTCCAAAAAGTTTTTAGGGGTGCTAAACGGCATTGACAACGAATCATGGAATCCAGCAACAGATCCGCTACTTGAGTTCCAGTTCAGTGCAGATGATTTGAGTGGAAAGTACGCCAACAAAGCTGCATTGAGAACTCGGTTGGGACTAGCACCTTCGGAGGGTGATGATGACAGGCCACTGGTAAGCTCCATGTCGGATAGAGTTCCAAGGTGCCGAATGTAATATTCCATACGCTTTGAAAGTTCCAAGAGACGGCAAGCTGTTCACTCTTAGTTTACTGTTTTATAGAGCTTTCTAGTGTTTACGGGAAATAGTTTCTAATCTTTAAATCCCTCGTTGATAAATTTTTCTTGTTTGGAAGAACTGGAGGCACTGCGGTGTCGTGCTAGACCACGGGAGAAAATTGCATCGTATATTTAAGAGGAGTGGCTACTTCATGATTTATTTTTTGTTGTAACACTAGTGTTTTTTCTGCAATTTAACGGTGGAGAACTTTGCGATGTCCAGGTTGGCTGCATAACTCGTCTTGTACCACAGAAAGGAGTGCATTTGATTCGACACGCAATCTATCGCACGTTGGAATGTGGTGGGCAGTTCATTTTGTTAGGTTCGAGTCCTGTTCCATCCATTCAGGTAACTCCAAAGAGTCCTCATTTTCGTATTCTCTATGCAAGCAAACTCAAGAACATCTCAAGTAACTATGAGAAAGATATTCTTGAGATTTTGGTGAGATGGTATTAATCTTTTGTGTTTGTGTTGCAGCGTGAGTTCGAAGGTATAGCCCGGGATTTTGATCAGCATCCTCATATTCGCCTTGTTTTGAAATATGATGAAGCTCTTTCACATTCAATATACGCTGCATCGGATATGTTCGTAATTCCATCCATTTTTGAACCTTGTGGCCTTACTCAGGTGATTAAGCAAACCCTGCTCGCTTAATCATTTTGGCTCAACGACTTGATTCATTGGCCCTTAAGTAACTGTTTCCTTACTTTTGCAATCGGCTTGATGGGGTCTTCCCGTCATTTTTCCTACATTGCTTGGCTTTTGGAAGCAGTGTGAAGTACCTTGTTCTATCCAAATTCCAGCAGGGCAGTATTTACTGTACACTCGAATCGTGTCTCTGTAGATGATTGCAATGCGGTATGGTAGTATCCCGGTCGTTCGAAAAACGGGAGGATTGAATGACAGGTTTGTCAAACTTGTGGACTCTTTCTTAATGTGCTTTGTGTTGCTGAAGGTTCACTTTTCCGATATACTAATTTCGTGTTATTTCCATGTCTACCCACTGTATCTTTGAGTTGAGAGTACTGAAGAGTTGAGTCCCACTCACTGTATTATGGTTGTGCAGTGTGTTCGACGCGGATGATTCTTCCTACCCTGAAGAGAAGAAGAATGGTTTTACGTTTTCTGCTGCCAATGAAGGGGTAAGAATATCAGTTAATTGCGGTGGTGTTATCCAGCTAATTGACTATGTTCGCTTTTGTGAACGTTTATTTCTTGGTCTCCAACGGGCGATTCTCTTGGGGTTCAATATGTTTCTCTTCTGTTTTTGGGTTCTCCTTCTAAAATCCTTGAATGGGGCAGTAGAGCTTCATCCAAAATTTTACGACTAAGAATTAATATCAGATCTCTCTGGGAGCCGTGGATTAGTCTCTTATCAATCCTCATTGGTGCTTTTTTTGGTTTACGAGGCATGTAATATTTTCTACAGGTTTGGGTCAATCGGTTGGCAGTGATGTCTTCGACTCGGGAGACTGTTTGTATTTCTGTTAGTGCTTGTCAATATTTTGGATTGGATTTTATGGATTTTTTGCATGTGAATGCGTGAACTATCTGATTATCACGGAGTGTACTGTAGACGTTTATGATGGGTTTGTTGGCTGTGCAGGGACTTAACTTTGCCTTGGATCGAGCAATGGCTTACTATAGGACCAATCGCCAGTGGTGGCGAAACCTTGTAACAAGAGCGATGAAAATGGACTACAGCTGGGATCATTCTGCAGATGAGTACATAGACCTTTACAGGCAATGTCTGGAAAGGTCTAAAACAAAGTTGTAGATGTATCGGGCATCTATCGTTAAGGACGTTCTGACGATGTGCAGCTTCGTCTTTGTGGTGAGCGATGTACTTTTTCTGCTTTGAAATGTAAAGTATTTTACTGACACCGAGATATGAAGTCACATGTGGTCCTTGTTACATCAAATTATCTCGATCTTTTAGGCCGTAGAATTGTCTTTTCAGGATCAAATATAGGTTGAGAAGGAAAGTGTTTTCTTTCATTTAACTGCTTTAGTGATCTCGCAGCATAGTAGCAGTTGAACCGAGTTCATTCTTTAAGACGACATTGTTTAGTGCGAATTCTAGGGTGTATTCAAAAATCAATTTTGTACCATGAATTCAAGTGATGACGGCGACAGTCTTATTAGAGTGTGTATCTTGTCTCGGATTTAGCTTTATCTCTAATTAGCAGTTGAGCCCAGTTCGTTACTCAAGACATTCTTTAGTGCAATTTATGGGGTATTCGAAAATCGGTTTTGTACGATGAACTCAAGTCGTGACGGCTGTAGTCCTTGTAGATTGTTATCTTCTCATGTGAGCTTTATTTTTAAGTTGTCTCGACGTCCTGAAGCTTAGCAAGTAGGCAAACAGCAGTGAGAATTCATTGTAGTACAAGCATTGAAGCGCTTGTGTAGTGTAAATTTCGAAGTGAAAATTTTGACTTAAACAGAAATTCCTGCTCCTGTAATCTTGTCGACACAGGTGTGATGACAAATATGTGTTAAGATTGAATTTAGACACTCACCGATGTGAGTAATCACACCCAATATGTTACACTAACACCAAAGTTCTTTAGATCTAAGTTGTAGGTTGGGATGAGTACAGGAGTGATTCTGAACAACTGCTTGAGGAGTCCAGATCTATCAAGTGATATAGATGTGAACTCTTCTATCTTTGAAGTGGTGTAATACCTGCGCAAAATGATGTCTTTTGGTGTACGAATGAAATACGAGTAAATGCGATGAAAGAACACCGTCAAATGGGGTGGTGAAGGCCAAAATACTACAAGGGTGTGAGAGAAAACTGAGTGCTGAGTGAGGTGGGACCTATAGATGTGAACCTTGGATATGTATTCTACGTAGCCAAAAAGACTTTACTTGCTAAGACGCGAAGTTCACGTAAATTTAATTATCTCCCTAGACTGCAATTCCTATCATTTGATGGTCGTAGGGAAGAAACCACTTCCCTGGGAGGTTGGTAATTCAATTATTCCCTTTCCGTTTGCACGAGGTGGACAAACACATGTGTGGAAAAGTAATATCTATTATAATCGTTGGAATTTTTTTTTTCTGAAGTATAGCTTGGTGTGTAATAAGTGCTCCTTACGCTGACGTTGGATGCACGACCAAAAGATTCTTTAAACCCACCTGCCATCGTTATTCTCAAATTAATGTAGGCAGTGTTTGCCGCTTCATCATCATAATGGAAGTATGTATTATGCTTGACTAGGGGTCGCGGACTATTTCTCGTGAATGTTAAGGTTTAATAAAGTGACTAAGCTGTGAGCCAAGTTTTTGCGTTGGGGACTCCACAATAGTCTAATCGAGATCCAGACTCTAGTTAGTATGAGTTACTCAAAATTATGTGTCTTATAATAATGACCGACTAGAATGTTTAGCACACGATCCAGAAAATCGTTATGCAAAACAATCATGAAGTCAACCCTAAATGTGTCATCTATATGGCATCTATAAATATGTTATCTATATCTATAAATTGCGTCTCTATATAGGGCCGATTCCATGTTTCGTACCCCAACAAAATAAGGATATTTCTCAAAATAATGTAAGGAGCTTGATAGAAATCTCTCACATTTTCTTCCATAAAGTTTGAATTAGATGGAAATGTAATACACTTTCCACAGAAATGGGTGTTATTTTTTATCTCTGAATGTCCTTCTTCCATTTCAGAACTTAGAAGTCACTTTCCACCGTTGACTTGTTAAGGAATGTGCAAGCTAATCCTCCCACAAACTCCATGAGTTGAGAAAACCTATTCTTAATACTAGGAATAATCCAAACTTTGCTAAAATTAGATTGTTCTGTCAACCGATTCAAGGCATTTTGAAGTCGATGTTCTTGGTTCACACAATCCAAAAGCTGGTTGTGTTCTTCCTCTATTTTATCTATGTACTCTGATTCACAAGAAAATTTGACATGATATTGATATTTTATAACTAACTTAGCAACTTCTCGTGTTTTCCAAGCTATAAATTCCTGAGATAAGCAAAGTGGCAAAATACTCGAATACTACTGGTTGAACTGATCACATGTAGCTTCTACCTTGCTGAGATTTCAACTGCAACCAAAACTCACCAATACAATGAGGGCATGTCGCGAACCCATTGAAAAGCATCACTCTAGTCAAAATAAGCCATGATTTCAGATCTACTTTTTTCCAAAAAACGAGATACACTAAACATCAAGGCCCAACGAGTAGTAACTAAATTTGGACAAATGACTTGCATTTCATCTATCAAAATCTTATGACGTCATAGGATACAAAACAGTGAGGTCAGAATCTTATAAAATCCAAAACTAGCGTTCTTATAAATCTTTTGCAATAGTATATCTATCTGATGAAACAAACACCAGACGCGAATAAAATATAGTCTAATCACCTCCTAAATACGCATCACAACTCAAGATAAATATCACGTCATATGTGTAGCACCATCAATTGAACACCAAAGTAGCTTGTACTTTCATAAGGTACAAACTGCATTAAAAAACTTTGAAAACATTTCAAACATTGCCATAATAATTGCCTGTATGTGTATAAAAGAAAAAAGAAGTGTAATAAGGTGAAAATTCTCAAGAAAAGATTTTTGATAAAATCAGATTAGAACATCAATCCAGGAAGCTCCTTGTAGGTCACAAGTTGCATCAAAGTTTATAGAAAATGTCCATGCAGAGTGGAGTATCTATGTGATATTTTTGATGGATATGACGCATGCGGGTTTAACATAAAAAGCAACCAGATTTTCACTACAAAATCCAAGTTTGGGAATGTTACATAATTCTCTCGCATCCCGAAAAAAGCATCGGCAGCCATTGAAATAGAACATTACTCGTGCAACAAAACGAGTTAACAGCTTAAATTGTTTCTTCTAGCTCATTCAAATGCAATAATTGTTATCTTCAGTCGGTTTAAAGAGTGACATTGTATAAGCTCAAGATTGACCATACAAATCGTTTTCATTCCAGAGCATTTCTCCCATAATCACGTCAACAATCAAAGCTCTAATAATAAAAGTACTGATGGCAAATTGGTTTTTCACTAAATGACAAATAGATTTGGCATGTTTGATAAAAATTGCAAAATAATTGAACTTATCTTCTATTGAAAGCTTTTGATATTCTCTACATCTTACTTGATGGTTGATGCAAAGATGCTGTATGTAGTTGTTTCTTCTGAAAGAAAGCCCTCAAATGTCCAAGATGTTGAGGATTATTTAGCAGCTTCTTTGCGACCGAAACATGCACATAATCTACACCTAAAAATCACCACTTCAGAAGATCTAGCATCACGACTTGCTATACATAGATCTATGTATAGCAAGTCGTGATGCTGATCTATGTATTACAGTTGTTTCGATTGAAATAATTTTTTGCAGGATCATTTTGAGGCAACTTCAATAGAAATCACCAAACTTTAGGCAACAAATGTTCAAAACTTAAGTGAAGTGAAGTGAAGTAACAAATGTCCAAAACCGTAGTGAAGTTAAGTAACAAAGGTCCAAAATAGTAGTGAAGATAAATAACGATGGTAGTGCCGTTTAAGCCGAGACCAATCTTTGAAAACTTTTAATAGCCGTAAATTTGTGTACACTGTTGTGGTATGCGAAGGATAGTGTGAACTTTTAGTTAGTAATGTCACAAATGGTCATAATGCAGTTTTAGTTAACATCTTTATTAGTTTCTCTCGTATTGTCTCCAAAATGAACAAAAACATTTTTGTTGGAAATACAAAATGTTCTGAAAACAAAAAATGGCACTTGAGCTTCGTATTTTCCTTATTTAGAGAGATCAATTTATCTCGCAAGTCGCAAGAGAGTCATGTGGCAAAAAATAAATGATTGTTGCACGGCTAAAACAACTGCAAGCTAGAACAACCTCGACCGTATGACTATGGACTACTGGCATACTGTCACCATTGTGACGGTCTCTCCTTTGTCACTGTCGTGTGAAGAAGTCACTCTTCGAGAGCATCCTATAGTATTCAAATTCAACGCATAGTCAGCCGATGTGATTGACTCGGCTCTCCTTTGTCACCATTATGTGAAGAAGTCATCCGTAGAGCGCACCCTCTAGTATTCAAATTTGACACATAGTCAGCCGATGTGAGACACGTGTTGACGTGGTCTCGTTCTCTTCTATTCTTCTTTGAAAGGTTGGTGGAGCCAACTAGGTTTTATCTCTCGATCACATTGCGTGAAAAATGGGATGACACACAAGTAGAATCACTCCACCGACAAGTTTTGTGGGTCGGCTCACGTTTTCATCACATTTGTGCAATTTAGCACAAAGACTCCGACAGGTTTGAGCAAATATACCCATGAAATCTCAAAATTTATATGAGCAATAGGAGATATAAGGTATATTAAAAGCTTGAATAGCGCTAAATGTTTTGCTTCACTGGTATATCAGCCAGGGAGCTTGGAGTGAATCTGGTTCGATTCATGGCGAGGGACTAAGCCTTTGATTCCATCATCTAATAGGAAAGACTTGGAAAAGAGTAGCTTTGTAAAATATGTAAGATGATAAGGACTAGCTCAAATTATGAGCTAGTCCTTATCATCTTACTTATTTGCACAAAATTCACATCCGCTTAGAATTGGTGTCTGAGCTGGACCGCTGAAATTTGTAATCATGAAACCAATTGAAGATTGAAAAGAGCAAGTAAGGATATTGCATCGAGAATGTAGGATTCAAGAACGATTAAAAACCCCATCAAAACTGATGTTGTTCAGAGATCACCAGCTTAGGCGAATGGATCAAAGAGATCGTGACGGCAATCTACGTAGAAAATGGAGATGCATTTCTTGCGATAATTCACAATTGCGTGGACAGTTTTTGAAAAGTTTGCTTGTCGGTCTCGTGAATCATCAATCAACGACGATGTTCTAGAAACAAGCGTAGATTATTGCCAAATGTGACTCATGTAGTTGCGTTCTTCAAGCATATGGAGCGCATTTAGTTGATAAGATTTTGTTGAGCTCAAAGATGCACAAATAATGTAAAACCTCATTGGAATGTACAAAGATCATATCAAGCAATAGTAGATATTGGTTAATGAGTAATGTACTATTGCATATAGTTGCAAAAATTCTTGCTGAATGTCGATTGCTTTCCACTTAACAAAAGTCTTCAGAACATATCATTTGGCGCGTAAGATGCGCTAACCTCATTATGAGCACAAGAAGAAGAAATTATGTTCTCCAAAACTTGGGTTGCCCTATTTACATGCAATACGCCAATGTGAAACAAATGCCAGTGGAGTACATGGTGCTAGATCATAACAAAGAGCTGCAATTGCAAGGGAGATGGTTGATTCCTGGTCAAAAGTGTGGGTTCGGATCTGTTTCTCACAAGTAAGTATTGTAGGTTTAGGCGTTGAAGAATTGGAATTAGAGTCTTGAAAAAAAGCAAATCGCATTGTACTTGAAGTCACCAC